TTGTGTAATTTGCATGTTCTCCCCGTGCCCAGTTTCTCCTGCCACGAAAACCATGCACAGTAGACTCCCCCGCTAGGCCTGAAAATGAGAATCCAAATCTCAGACTTCATCTTGGTTTAATAAAGTCCACTCTGAATTAAAACACATGCTGTGAATACACTTAGTTAGGCCCTAAATAAAACAGTATCTCCTTTATGGACTCGCACAGATGGAGATTTGTGATTTGATGTTGATCTTGTTATTAAAACGTAATTGTTAATAATTGTGGTTGTGCTAAGACGTGTGCCTAATGTGTGTGTTTTAATAACAGCGCTCCATCTGCATTGCATTCTAATGACTGCCAGAGAGGCTAATGCTAATGCTGATGGTCTCTTGCCCGGCGGAGGTCTGACAGAATGAGGGGACAGGTTATGGATCGGTCTGAGTACAGTGATGAATGAGTCCCTGGAGGTTACATGCAAAACTAGGGGTGACTTATATTAATGCGGCGTATTATAGATTGAAATATGTGCGTATGCGGTGCGTGTAAGATAAAAAAGATGGACGTAGTATTTCAGTTTTGTATTCCGGCGGTGTGCTGGGATGCTGCAGAGCTCTTCTAAAAGTAAACACTGTTGCCGTGGTGACCAGCAGCTCTGTCCTATGGGTGCAATATTTGGTTGAAGTGTAGTTCGTCTTTGTAGCATAAATAGTTTGCTTTAGGCCAAATGCGGCACAATGAAGCAATGCAAATTCATGAATAATTTGTTTTTGTGTGTATTTTATTCATAGGAAATCGACTTATTCATCCTACATACTGTATTTTAACTGTACAATATCAGCTTTTACAGTTTTTATTTCATTTTTGACATGACAACTAAAGCTATGTTGTTATGTTATGAGGAGTGACCTAAAATCCAGTGCATCCAGGTGAAACGTCTCTTCCCATATTCAGTTCTTTCTGCATATTTCATAGACGTGCCTCTCTTGATAGATGGCTATATAAGAATGGAGCGTCACTATTTTTAGAGCAGAATACTACTCTGTGATTGGACGAAGCTTACCTTTCAAGTTCGCAGATGTAAATGCAAATGTAAACATGCATATTCGTAATCATTTTAATGTGCATCTTTGTTTGGAATGGCATACTTCTGTTTGAGTAAAACCTACAATTGTTGAACCATTTAGTCTTGCAAAAGTATTTTTTGTTTGTGTGTGCAAGGAGAAGTACTTTCTCTGCATTCTATTTATCATGCATCTATTTGTTATTATGTGTGCTCTGGATATTTGTCTTTGATCCAAGCCATAGGACATAAATGGACATAGCTGACCCACTAGCCCAGTGTTTCCTAAAGACTGTGTCCCTCAGGTGGGTCGCAAGAGATTTTTTTTGGGTCGCCTTGGGTCGTCATGATCTGCATGTAGGTCTGCAATTGAAATGTTGAAAAATTGAAATGTTAAGACATGTTGGTTTAATTGAATGTTGAAATGGAAATGGACTTCATTTAATGTCCAAATAGGCGACTTATGGATCCTTTGATTGCTGGTTAAATTATTGTTTTTCATTGTTTAAAACTTGAGTAATACTAATTGTTTAGAGAGACACGATCACTCAGTCAAAGCGAGGTTAGTTAATTAATATTTGGGGGGATCGCTGTATTCAGGCCAAATTCGCGGGGTCTTATTGGAACCGGGCGTTTTTTTGAAATTATTGCCAAAGAAATGGCCGATGGTCCTGGCTCCAATGTCAATGAAAAATAAAGATCCTGCGAGTCAAATACAAGGAGGCTAAAGATGCGGCCGTGGATGTGTAACCTGTCCATTTTCCAAATAACTGGACTGTATTTTGGGAGACAAGCCCAGCGTTTAGGCAACTTCCATTAACACTGAGCATGCTCGCTGTGTGTGATGTCGTCGTTTCCTCCAATGCACATGCGGGACACTTTTGGGGCATTTAAAGTTTACACTGGAGATCACATACAAGTTGCATTTAATTGGAAATGTGAACAACCTCTCAAAAAAACTGTATTTCACAAAAAATTGAGCATTAAGCCTTGCAGAGCTTTATTTGACTGGAGCCGAGCGCTTTGGGTGACCTCACACTCCCTCAGTCCACTTTTTTGTACAGTTGATTGTCCAAGCCCAGCAGGAGCCCTGGCTCTCGCTCTCTCTCCTCCGTCACTGGTGCAGGTGCAGTGCTTGCTCAGGTGTACAGTTTACATCACACCGCACCCATGGGAGACAGACCGGTGGGGGAGAAAAGGAGAGAGAGATAGAGACAGAGAGGGGAGAGACGCTGGAGAGACTCTACATGTGGTCATGCTTTTTTCTAATTATGGAAACTGAGAAAATGACTCAGCCACTCGTTCTGTGCAGCACCAAACTCTGAATTTTGGCTGGTTTTATCAAGTTGTTTAAGGCCAGGAGTGAGCTGGGAGTCTTTGTGCAGCTGAATTAATGCTGTGACTTATCTTCCCTTAACAACCCTTTCCACCGTTCATGTCACAACCTCAGACAAACAAACTGGTACATGGCTCGCATTCTACATTTAAACACTGTAAAAGCAGAAATTGTGTATGAAAAACATGTTACAGAATGAAGAAGAGGACATACTGGCTTTGCGTCAGCGTTTATCCAAGGGGGGGATCCCATGATGCTTTGCGCTGTGACGTCACAATCTGTTTTTAGCAGCTCTGAAAAGTGCTATAAAATATTAATCCACATATCAACACCGAGCTGTACTCTTAAGTCCTTATGTCTTATGCAAATTTCCTTCCCTTCGATGTACGTTTCCTCAATGTGACACTTTCCTCATTTAAAAAGAAATGTAATTTACGTAGAGGCACAGTGAAAATTGCTTTGGGAGGACGTGTCTTGAGATAAATTAATGCTGGTTAAGGCTGGTGAAGCTCATGACTCCATCTAGTGGCAGAAACGTGGCATTGAAAACTTGCAAGATAATTGTGGTATTGTTTGTTAATGAGTATTACACTATATTAATTGATGAGCTTATGAGTACTGTTATGTTTGGGCACCTCTTGTTTTGATCTGGTGGGACCGGCTGTTCTGTTTACACTTTTCCGTTGGGTTAGGTTTGTTGTTTTTTTTTTCCTCCTTAGTTACGGGTGCTGGCGCCGGCTTCTACAGCCCTGTATGGGGTTGGCCCGGTGTCACACCTTTTTGTTCTGTTTGGCCGGCTCATCAGGTCCACCTTTCTGTTGTTACTTTTTCTTAGTTCTTAGTTCTTTTGAGACATGGGTTAAGGGTAAAAAAACAAAAACACCTCTAATCCTTAACTTGGTTTCTGTGTCCTTCTTAAATATGTTGGGACTCATTTTTTTGGGTCGTAACATATTAATGGGGGCTCGTCAAAACAGGTAAAACCCTTTTAACTGAGTCATTTTTTGTGCTCTTTTGTGTGTTTTAGCTGTGGTATCTTTAGGTTGTGCCACTTTGTGTTTCGTGACATAATTGAGCAATTTGTTATGACTTTAGTTTTGTTGGTTTTGATTTGTTTTGTGCAGGGGGAGTAGCTTTTTTGGGGTAGGCAGCTATTTTGTGTGTGGGTAGGTTATTTGTGCTTTGCTTTTGTCTGATTGTTGGCTGCAGGATTTTAGGTAGGTATGGAGTTCCACCTAGATGAATTTCCCAAGGCGCCCACATTGGAAGCCTTTCGTAGTTGCACAAAGTATCAGTTGCTCCTAATAAAAATCCTAAATATTAATATTGAATTGTACTGACAAGGTGTCAAAAAGAATCAATTATCATGCAAAAAAATACATAACTTAAGGTTTCTCAAAGAATTAAATTAATGTTCTCTCATATTACGCTATTTTCTGATCTATTTTATAATGTCATTGCTCATCAAAAACAAACCTGGAGTTGTGTTTTATTTCATTCACACATGTTTGACACACAAATCCTGCATATTTAGGCTGAGTTCTTCTCTCAAACAGAAATCACTTGTGATGTGATGTCAAACAAGAAGTGCTCCATTGTGTTTTTAAATGTAATGAAATGGTGTTGAATTTAAGATAAGTTTTCTGTATCTGTACATATATCTTTGTGTATTGTAATGTACTCTATAAGGCATGTTGCTCAAACAAATAAAAATGAAATGAAATGAAACTCCATACTCCTTCACTAGAAGCATTTAACTTCAAAGCCCCAAATGAATAAAACAACTTGCCCTCCTCAATCTGATCAATCACATCGATCCACTACTTTAAGGCGTCAGTCTACAGATACTTACACACATCCTGCTCCTATTTTTGGGAACAATACATTTGTGTTCTGTGTACTTTCTGTTGTACATAGAGTTGCTTTTTTCTTCAATAATTTGCAAATATAGGTTTATCTTAAGATCCTATATTGTGTAGTGTGAGTGTTGTCTTGTGTTTTGTTTTATTTTGATTTGCTCTTTCTTTTCTGTAAATGCTATTTTTTGTTAATGTATTTAGGACCCCCTCGCAAACGACATATTACATCTCAAGGAGCTTCCCCTATGAATAAATAAATCAATAAATAAATACATTTAGATAATTTCAGTGCTGGAATTGCCAATCTGTACTGAACTAAAGGTAAAAAGTAGCTGTTAACTTAAAAACTATCAGAGCATTTTGAGCTTTGGAGACGTAGACAGACTAATAACAAAGAGTTACTCAAACATGTGTGAACAAAACACAACTCCAGGTCTGTTTTTGAGGAGGTAACAACATTATAACATAATCAGTTCTCTGACGTAGGACCATTAATCAGTATAAAAGCATGAGATTGGCTGTGATTTGATGACAGAAAGTTTAATATCCGAGAGATACTTGAAGAGATGAGAGAAGAGACACTGTTTATAAGCTTTTGTGTCTCGGCTTTATCAGAACAACATGGGTGCCGATCTCACTTGTTGCTTTGATCCCTCGGCCGTCCTCCACATAACAGAGATAAGCCTAACAGACAGTTTAGTGTGATACAGAACACATTTACTCCTCTGCTCTTTGTAGTGACTCTGACCCTGTGTTTTTCAGAATGGACTCAACGCTCTGCACTTGGCCGCCAAAGAGGGCCACATGGATCTGGTCCAGGAGCTGCTGGAGAGGGGAGCCAGCGTCGACGCAGCCACTAAGGTACTGCACTTAAAAGTTTAAAGGTTTCTCCATAGAGATGTTACTGCTTTGTCTGGAATGTTTCACAGTGCCACAGTAAGCATTTCTATCTTTATAGAGACCAATCCAGACCAAGTTACAGGTCAGATCTGTGGAGAGGCGACCCCGTTTAGAGTCAGAATGCCTGTTTTTCTAGATATTCTGAGCTATAAACCACCTGTAATTGAATAAATGTAAGGCAGAACTGTTTAACGTCACACTGTGGAACAATATTGATCTAAATCTGCATATTTATAGAAACAGAATCATTGACTTACTGTTAAAAACTGCAGAAATTATCCCTGCCTCTTCATAGTAGCATGCAGTAGATTTTCATTTACCTGCTACTTGGAATGTCCATGATTTGTAGACTAATTGATCATTAAAAATTTCGTCAATTAGATTCATGTTTAATCAACAAACTGAAGGTAGGTCCGACAGCACAAACACTGGAGTTGTGGCCTCACAGTCCCATGCTTCGGCTTTGGCACCTCCTTGGAGATCACTATATGAGTGTGTTTACATGCACATCAGTATCCCGGTTATGATCAGGTTTTTGAGTATCCCGGTTTCGTGGCGCATGTAAACGCAGTATCCCGGTTACTGCAACATAAAGCTGAGTACGCAATTCATCTAAAAACAAACACTTTTCAGTCTTTTTATCACAACAGTAGCCAAAATAAATAAAGTGAGTGAAATGACTCTTAAATAAAGAGCTGTCCTAAGAGCTAAGAGCAGAGCTTTTAGTTTATGCAAATGAGCCATGTGGTTTTTAGTTTATTTTCTGTAAAACGTAAATAAATGTGTCAAAGCTGCATTAAACACATTATAATGTTAAACAGGCTGATGTGGCTCTGTAGTGGTTATGATTTATATGATTTAAAGATGAGTTTATGTAGATTAGAAATAATTATGATCATTTTAATATAAAAACGTTAATGATTAATCGAAAACCGATCCTTAATTCTCCTGACGATCATTAAGAAAATTTTATCGAATGCCCATCCCTACCTGCTACCTGTTTTGTATCATTGATAAATAACTATGCAGTATTTTTGGACTTTATGTGTATGACCTGGAGACAAAATTATATATTGCAACGTAAACAAACTGTTGCTTATACTGTATGTAATATCTGTATGTATGTATGTATGTAGCCTCATTATCTGTACAAGTTAACTTATGGATTGACCTTTTACCAATTGAATATTTATATATAGTCAATAAAAAGTGATCAAATAGTTGTAAAAGCTCTTTAAGTGCATTTGAAGTAGTAGTACAGCGTGGCCTATTTACCATCTGTGATCATTCATTGAGATATACGCTGGTGCTGAAGTGTATTTGATTGGCGTGTGGAACAGGAGCTGAGGTCAGAGTAGTGCTGGGAGGGAAAGTGATACACGGCGTAGTACTGTGAAAGCTACCGCCATAGTATGCCTAGAAGTACTTTTACAGCCCTCTGGCTCCAGTCCAGAATACTGCACGTACTGTGACCTGTGATCTACTTGGATTAGTGGAAATGACAAGTGTACAAGCAGTGTTCATTTCGTTAATTAAGATATTTAGGCATCGTGTTTTTCAGTGTTCAATTTTTGCCAACTAAAACTATAAAAAATAAATATAATAAAATAAAAAGCAATCATAGTGAGGTAAATGATGTCTGTGATTCATTGAATAAAACTACTGATACTAATTAGGATTGTATTTTTGAGAACTCAGGTTAGACTAAAAACTAAAAGGGATCATTTGACTAAATATTGTCTTGGGGCCTGTTTACACGAGAACGCTTGCGGGTAAAAACAACAAAAATATTTTATTGGAAGTGCCTTTCGTTTAGATGGTGACGGTGTTTTTGGGGCTTAAAAACTCAAAAATCTGCAAAAGTTGAATACACTTCGCCGTAGTGTTTCGGTCTACACTGCCCAAGACGCAAAACTCTGGTCAGATCTGCTCACGTTGCGTACACATTTACATCACATACATCACCACCTGGCGTCACCACTGAGCCACCTGGCATGCATACCCAATCGAATTCCACACACTTTTGCGTCACCGTATGCACGCAGATTTCCTCCCGAAAACGCTCGTCTAAACGCGGAATAAAAAGTGAAGACGCGACAACACTTTTGCATCTTCTGTTCAGAACTTTCATCATATAAACGTAGCCTTAAAGGTGCATTGTGTAACTTTTCTTCAATTTAGATGTTATTGCTTTGTCTGGAATGTTTCACAGTGTGGTATTAAACCTTTCTATCTTAACAGAGACCAAACCAGACCAAGTGACAGGTCAGATCTTTGGAGAGGCGACGCAGCTTACAGTCAGAATGTCTATTTTTGTAGATGTTTTTGAGCTATAAAACCACCTGAAATCAAATAAATGTCAGGTAGAGCTGTTTAATGTCATATTGTGGAACATTTCAGGCAGAGCAATGATGTATCCATAGAAACAAATGGATGACAGACCGTCCAACCAGAAAGTTATAGTACACGTTTAAGCAAATAATTATTACAATCAAAAGACAAAAACTTTAATTCCTGGCAAAATTATAATTGTGTAAAGTTTATTTAATTTTTTTTTTATTTTTACATTAAATAATAATAGTTTTGGTTGTTGTGTGTTTGAATGCAGAAAGGAAACACAGCTCTCCACATAGCGTCTCTGGCCGGTCAGGGGGAAGTCGTGAAGATCCTGGTCAAACGGGGGGCGGACATCAACTCACAGTCACAGGTACAATAAAAATACATGACATTAAGTTCAGTATTTAATAAATAAAGATTGAAATAAGTAGTTTAACAGTTTATATATGTGTGTTTTTACAGAATGGGTTCACTCCGCTGTACATGGCCGCGCAGGAGAACCATCTGGACGTGGTGCGGTACCTGCTGGAGAACGGAGGCAACCAGAGCACGGCCACAGAGGTACAGCAGGGGGCGCTACACTCTGCACTTTCACACAGTCGTCCTCGCTCACTCAGCTCTTCAGAAAGCAAGAGTACTGTAAGGTGGAAGATGGAAAAGCCCACGCAGAAACTTTGTGAATACTTGTTTTTATTCCCCGTGTAAAGTTTTGAAAGGTTATACTTAGCAGGACGTTTACCACCCACCATGTTGTTTCTGAGGCTGATCTTTGGAAGTTCCCGTGCATCATAATGACTCAGAAAATTATCATCTGAATCTTTGGTTTGTTTATTAGAAAACAGAGCAGAAACTGTTATGTTTAAAACTAGGGTTGTGCAAATATTGTATCGTTTAATGTGATGATACAGTATCGATATCTTGAGTATTTTTTGGTATATTTTACTAAATCATTTTGTTACATTGCTACAGTTTTGTTGCTTGTTCAGAGAAAGGAAACTTGTTTATGCGACACATTTGACATTTTCACTGTTTTGATGATTAAAATGTTTGTGTTTCATATTCACTTGGCGCAAGAAGTGGTTTAACAAAGACTTTTAGTATCACAGACATGATTTAGACTTTATTTTTTAATTGAACCATATCGAATTGAATTGAAATATATTGTATTGGAGCGTGTGGGGAAGCTGGCCAAAGTCATCAAAGTAGGAGGCAGATGCAACAAAAAAAGTGTCCTTAACCAAATAACATTTATTTTAAAACAGACTTGTTTAGTTAACACCAACGAAAGTACAAATATACAAAAAATAAGTAACTCGTAATCGAAAAATCCCAAACAACCTGCACAGAAGTCTCTCCCGTAACTGATGACACCTGCTTGGCTTTATACTTCGCCCAGCAGGAAGTACCTCCCCCAGGTGAGTATTGGTTCCAGGTCACGTTCCAAAAGCAAAGATGTCTCCTTTCAAAATCAAAATGTTTAATATATACCATAAAGGTGAATTTAAAATGAGACAAACGCCCACTTAGTCACAGAGCGTATTGAATCGTATCGAGATATGTATCGTATCATATTCAAAAGTCATGCTTTTATATGTTTTACAATAAAGAGAAACTACTTACTATGAAAATACATTACATTAAGGTAAGATTAAGATACATTTTTATTTGTCCCACAATTTAAAATAATAACAGTGCTGTGGTACAAAGTTCACGACCAGCAGGAGAATAAGAGCAATCAAAATCAAAATAAACTATTAAAGGACAGACAAAAGACATACAATCTAACTCAGGGGTGTCCAAACTTTTTTCATCAAGGGCCACATATCTAAACACAGATGAAGCAGAAGGCTGATCGAGGGTCGTAGACTGGTGCTCAGTACAGTGAATAATTGAAATATGTGCACGTTTAACACAGGTTAGAATGAGCCATCAGACTTTATTTATGCTAAGATCCTTAAAACCACACACTAAATATTCACCTGGAAGCCTGAGGACCAAGAAAAATTTGTCTGAGGGCCGCATTTAGCACCATGGGCCATAGTTTGGACATGATTAATCTAACTCAACGCTGCCAGCAAGAGTAAAGCTGCAAGGCTCCAAAGTACAGTGCAGTAAGTGGCTCTAACTGTGGATGTGCAGCATGTGGACAAGAATAAAAAGCATTTAAAGTAACTACAGTTTATTATGCAGTTACGTAAAAAGTGATGTACTCATTTTTTTCTTTCAACAGTACATTTAAAAAGCAGCTCTTAGAGTCAAAATGAGACCGCTGTGATTTATCTTCCACTTTTAGTATGAGAGTTGTTTCTAGCATTACTGTGTTGGCAAAGTTCCACTCCAGCCTCTCAAAGTTGTGAAACATGCTTGCAAACTCATCACAGTGAATAATTAGGAGACTAGAAATGTGTTGGAAAATAAGGAATAATTTTGGACTTTGGCTGTTTTAAAATTAACTAGTTCTGTTTTTCACATTTTTAAGACACAGATACAGCACTTTTGAGTATGGTTACCAGATTTTCAAAATAAAAAACTGGAACACACCCAGTTTTAGATGGTTGGTATAAATTAAATTGTGAAAAAAGCGTGTAGTTTTGTCCATTCTCGACTCACGTGTGGCTCAGTGTTTAATCTGAGACTGAATACAGAAATGCAGTCTGCTGGAGTTTGGCTCAGCTAATGCAATTTATGCTCCTCTGGTTTAGACCTGGTTCAGAACTAAAATAGACCTGGTTTAGTCCTGGTTTAGCCCTAGTTTAGATTTGGTTTAGATGTGAAATAGACCTGATATAGTCCTCATTTAGTCCTAGTTTAGACCTGGTTTAGAGCTGGTTTAGACCTGAAATAGATCCGGTTCAGTCCTGGCTTAGCCCTAGTTTAGACCTGGTTTAGACCTGATATAGTCCTGGTTTATGTCTGTTTTAGTCCTAGTTTAGACCTGGTTCAGACCTAAAATAGTCCTGGTGTAATCTTGGTTTAGCCCTAGTTTAGACATGGTTTAGACCTGAAATTGTCCTGATTTAGGTCTGATATAGCCCAAGTTTAGTCTTGGTTTAGACTTGATTTAGACTTGAAATAGTCCCGGTTTAGCCCTACTTTAGACCTGGTTTTGACCTGGTTTAGACACAGGGCTCAAAACTGGGACTGTCCCGGGTAAATAGGAACATATGGTCACTCTATCTTTGACTTGAGATTTAAGTAAAACTATATTGTGGTATTTCCAGGACAAAAATGCATTGGTAACAAGATTCTTTAACCTGTCTTAAATTTTCCACTTAATCTGACTCTCATTTTCTCATCTTCTTTAAAATGCCTCTCTAATCCGTCTCCTCTGGCCTCTGTAGGACGGCTTCACCCCGCTGGCCATCGCCTTACAGCAGGGCCATAACCAGGTGGTGTCCATTTTACTGGAGAACGACACGAAGGGGAAAGTGCGCCTGCCCGCCCTGCACATCGCCGCGCGCAAAGACGACACCAAATCCGCCGCCCTACTCCTGCAGAACGACCACAACGCTGACGTACAGTCCAAGGTACGGCAAGTGTGAAGTGGGCCAAACCTGTGCCGCTGTAAATGTCTGTGATCATAACGTGTTCATGAGCTAAATGTGTGCTGAAATATATGAAGTATGGAAATGTATCTAACAGAAACGTCCATGGGTATAGATGACCAACAAGTTTCACTGTTTACAGCAACATCATCCCTGTCTGGAATTGTTACCGGGGTAGCCCATAATCCAAGCATTTAAAGGTGTACTGTGTAACTTTTCAGGTGGAGGGTATGTCACATGCTTGTCTCCATGGAGATGTTATTGCTTTGCCTAGAACAGGGTATTTTTTCCACGGGGCCACATGAGAAACAGAAATTCAGCATAATATTAATTGTATTTCTTTATAAAAAGCAGTACATAACATTGTTTTGACAAGTAAGGATATAACAATAACTGAAATATTGCGATATTGTATCATCAAACATCTCTCAATAATACCGTGGACCATCACCATATATCAAATCACAAGCCTCTTCACTTAAATTCATTGTTATGTTGCAGCAATAGCTAAAAAAGACAGACAGCTGCATAGACCATGATCCTTTGCTCCGTTTCAGTGCAGACCACATGAAGAAAACAGTGTTAAAAGCACTTTTAAATCTTAGTTCTTTGGGTTAAGTCTTGTCTTGTATTTTAAGAGGAAAAAGTAGCCCCCACAAAATATCGCAATAAATATCATAACGTGAGATGTATCGTGAAAACATTCGGACTATGAGTCACTCTGGAGTATAAGTCGCACCAGCCAAAAAATGCGTAATGAAGAAGACAAAAACAAATTTAAGTCACACCGGACTATAAGTCGCAGGACCATCCAAATCATGAAAAAAAGTGTGACTGAGGGCCTGTTTACACGAGAACGCTTGTGGGTAAAAGTGACAAAATATTTTATCAGAAGTGCCTTTTGTTTAGACAGTGATGGCGTTTTTGGGGCTTAAAAACGTAAAAATCTGAAACCACCCTCCAGAGTGGAAAAGTTGAATACGCTCCACTGTATTGTTTCCATCTACACTGCCCAAGACGCAAAACTCTGGTCAGATCTGCTCATGTCGCGTACACGTTTATGTCACCACCTTACGAGCGTCACCACCGAGCCGCCTGGCATGCAAACCCAATCAAATTCCACACACTTTTGCGTCACCGTATGCACGCAAATGTCCTTCCTTCGTCTAAACGTGGAATAAAAAGTAAAGACGCGACACCACTTTTGCGTCTTCTGTTCAGACCGTCATCATATAAACGCAGCCTTATAGTCCAAAAAATATGGTAATGGAATATTGTGAAGCATTCCAAGTATTGCAGTTACATCTCCATGGAGAAAAAAGTGCTGCTACTCCTCCACCCAAAAATGACATTGTGCATCTTTAAACATCTAGATAAAAAAATAAAACGAACTTGGATTCTCGATATTCTGCTACTGTTTACGTGTCTCCAGACAGAGGATCCTCGTCTCACTTTGATAATGTCATGTGTCCACTCTGTCCCCCTTGTCTCCCCGTGTCTCCGTGTGCACCCGTCCTGTTTGTGCTACTAACCCTGTGTGTTTTCTCCCTCCTCCCGCTGCACCGCTGTCTAAGTGTCCACTGCATGGAGTGTGCCACTGTCTGCAGGTTGTATGGCGGTCCGGGCGTAGGCTGCATGCGACTAGCCTGGCCAGCCGGAACTACTTTCTCATTGTATTTTGTACTGAAATTCAGACTAGTACTGCTTTGTTTGAATCAGACTTGTAAACTTTGAAAATCATGTTCAAAGTAAACAACAGTCTGTTGTCAAAATCATTACAGAATATGTTCAAATCCGAAATATGAGCTCAGAGGTACGTCTGTGTTTATCCAAACGAAAATCAGAACAAACTTTATGAAATTTTGTGTATTTGTTAAAGGGGTAGAGGTCTGGAACAATTGTACAGAAAACCTAAAATTGTGCGTCCACTCTCTTCCATTTTATGAAGAAGTTTAAATGTTTAACTCTGGGCTGAAATATGAATTATGATATTTAAGTTTGTGCTGTAGTACTTTGTTGTACTGTTGCTGATTGTTTCCTCTTGCTGTATTTATGAATTTGAACTGGTGTGTCAAGACGCTATGACAAAGGAATAAAGTGTTGGCATAATAAGCTCAAGCTTCAGCCTACACCTTTTGAATATGCCTGTGACCAAAATAAATTAATCTAAAATAAATTAAAAAGTGAACTAAGGAAGTGTCACCCATACAGTTCGGTTCTAGGGATGTAACTATATCCAAACCTCTCGGTACGATATTTTCACAATATGCACCTCACGGTACGATATGTATTACGATATTTTGTGAAGGCTAAACTCAAATTCACAGAGGGCCAATATTAAAAACTGGGACTAAGTCGTGGGCAAAACTAAATATTTATTTAAAAATTTCAGCAACATCAGCATGTTTTCTCTTCTTTTGAGATATGTAATGTTAAACCTTTTCTTATTAAAATAAATGTTTAATAATAATTTAGCTTAAACATGAATCGAGAATAAGCATTATATAAAATAATAACAACATTTTAGATAAATAATGTCTCTATAGCGTATCTGTAGCCGGCGGGCCAGCTTTAATACATATTCGATATGATCTCGCGGGCCAAATATAATTATGTTGTAGGCCATATTTGGCCCCCGGGCTGGCAACCTTTCAATGTAAAATCAATTGTAGCAAAAGTTGATGGAGCCAGAAGTGCCACCATGTTCTCTTCCTATTTGAAACGCGGCGGCTACTGGGTTAGCTATGTCTATTTCTATTTATATATACAGTTTATGATTTGAATGTAGTTTTCACCATTTTGTTAAAAGAAATCTGACTATCCAAATGTTACTAATGTCCTATAAGAATATACCTGAGTACTTCCAAAGCAGTACTGGTCTGTCTCTATGTGAAAATACAAAAGTGGTTTGGGTTGGCCGGACTAGCATGCTCCTGGGGCTGATAAGACAAGGGGAGGGAGATAATATCGTCTACTGTCTATGAGGGATGGAAGTATATAGTCATGTTTTGCTCTATGTACTGAGAATTTGTCGTTACATGCATTCAAGAACTGTATTGAATGCACTGGGGCTTTAAATTATGTGGCTGTTAGTACTGGTAATATTGTGTTTTGCTTATAACTTCTACAAAATGTGTTTAAATTACAAAACTACAAATGACATACTGTGCTGTACATAGATATTGCACGCAAAGATTGACCCTGGATCCTGGGTCCTGAAGTAAAATGTAAGGATAGAAATGCAAGAGGTTAATTGGCAGAAAGTGACAACATTGTAAATACACTTTGCTGTGTTTTTAAAGGTCTGATATTACAAAAAATTTACTCTTGTGAGCTTTTAGCTGTGTTATAATACTGTTACCATCTCAAAAACATACCTGGAGTTGTGTTTTGTTTCATTTACACATGTTTAGGGGTGTGCAAAAATATTGAAATATGAATATATCGTGTTATTGAATGTGATGATACAGTACAGGTATCATGGGCTGCTGTATCGATATATATCGCCAAGAGTATTTTTGGTATTTTTGTTTTTTGATACTAAATTATTATTATTTGGCTTCGTCTACATCCATCTCGACCACTTTACTGTTGTGTTGTACCACAAAAGGGACCCAGACAGGCGCTTGAGTTTGAGGTGTTGGCTTCACAGCTCTTCTCTGATTGGCCGGTGCACGGTCTACAACCTCTGGAGTTCTTGCAAACCATCTAGTGTATTTTGATTCCTGACCTAGTCGCTGGAGAGAAATGAAACTGAGCGGAGGCACTAAGTGGCACCAGCGTGGCTTAAAAACATCCAACATCCAAAATGCGAGTCTCCCACCAGAACAGATCCACATGAAGAATGGCTGATGTGTGACGTTTAAAAACACACTCCCTGTATTACTGTACTAACAAGGTGGAACAGAGTATTTATGAGAGAAGAACTCAGCCTAAATCTACAGGTTTTGAGTTAAACCTGTGTGAATGAAACAAAACACAACTCCAGGTCTGTTTTCTGATGAGGAAACATTAAAACAGATCAAAAAAAATAGCCTAATATAGGGCCTTTAAATTATGTTTAAGTAAATATTTTGTACTGTTATGTTAATTAGTAATCTCAGTTCCTGTTGTAAAGAAAAACCTTCAGAGAAATCACTCAGACTTCTATAGTGTTTGTGAGTAACCGTGAGGGATCAGAGCCACATGACTTGAGCCGGTGGGGCTGTGTGCAGTGGTGTAGTGGTGCAGCTAACTGACCTGCTGTCTCCTCCTCATCCTCCTGCTCCAGATGATGGTCAATAGGACGACTGAGGTACTCACTAACTCTGTGCTGTCCCTCCTCCTCCTCCTTCTCTCTCACTCCTCCTCCTCCTCCTCTCTCACTCCTCCTCTCTCACCCCTCCACAGCTCTGCATGACCCGGAGCGCTCACCCTCTCTCACCCTCTCTCTCTTAATGTTGCTTTGACCACAGGAAGCCGCCACTGCTCTGTCTAACTCTCCCTTCATAACACTTCTTTATTTCTTTTGACGCACTAACTTTTAATTTTTTGTGACTGGTTCAGAATTTCTTTGTCATCTGTGACCCGTGGTACATTTACAAACTTCATGCTTCTGATGAATGGATTTGATGCTTTTTCTTAACTTGTGTCTCTCTTTAGTTATGAATGTGATACTGTCTAATGTATATGTTTGTATGATATCTATGTTTTTTGCATGTCTTGCTACAAATTATTATCTCAATCAGAACCTGGGTCGCACTTTACTTTGTAGCACAGTAATAGCATGGTAAAAGGATAACCGGTAATAAAGCTATTTTGCTGCAATGTCATTTGGGTAGGGCAGTGGATGAATTAACTAGCACCTGTGGGATTTTCTCTGTGGCGTTTGCATCTTCTCCCTGTGTCTGGATGGGTTTATAAACACAATAGCATCCAGCAAATGTACGGTGACCAGATTTTCAAAATAAAAAACTGGGACATCCCTGGTTTGGTTTGGTTGGTAATAATAAAATTGTGAAACGAGTGCGTAATTATGGAAAATTGTTATGCACTTGGCACTAATGGCAAAGGAGAATTTAAATTTGTCGACTGGACAAAAGTTTATTTGGTCAAATACGTTTTGCAACTCTTCCAATGTGCTTCTTCAGTTCTCAAAATTTCTCAGAACTGAAGAAGCAGCTTGGATGAGCTGCGAAACATATTCTACCAAATAAACTTTTGTGCAGGCGACAAATTTAAATTCTCCTTTGCCATGGATTCTACCTGGACGACTGAGGGATTTTTCACACAACTTGGCACTAATGTGAGTCAGTATAGTCACATTTTCTCTTTGTTTTGGTCGTTTTTAAGCAGCTTTTCTGGATTTTACCTAAACAAATGACAATGTGTGCCTCTTTTTCCTGTTGGCAGGGATCAGATTGGTCAAAAATAGGAACACCTGGGACATTTCAAATATAAAACTGAGAAAAATCACTGGTTTTAGATGAATCTCCTGGGACAGGAGACACAGCTGTTTCCTATTTCTGTGAGTTATTATAATGTAAGTACAGCAAGTACACTTTCAGTTATTGTGTCAGGTGCTTTCACACTGACAGAAGGTGGTGCGCAGTAAGCTTTCCATTCGAACCAAAAGCTCTTAGTTTGGTTCATTTTTGTTGGTGTGAAAGCATCAGTCACACTCAGGTCTGCACTAAATCAAGCAAACCAAGACCTCAAAAAAGAGGTGGTGTTGGTCTGCTTGAATCCACACCAAATGCCAAATTCTGGTGCGGTCCTTCTGGTGAGAACGCCAACTCTGGTCCAAACCATAGATAGTAGGTCCAAACGAACTATCCCCGAGGACTTGCAGTCGAACCCGCTGTGCACAGAAGCCTTGGACTTACATCATTTGGACCAATTTTGGTTCGTTTACAGATTTGAAAGTGGACCACACTGGAGTCAATATGCTACATAACAATTTTATTGTCTGTTGCGGACCAAATAATCGAACTAGCAGTGTGAAAGCGCCCATAGTTTAGGGTGACCAGACATCCTTGTTTACCCGGGACAGTCCCAGTTTTGAGCCCTGTGTCCCCTGTCCCAGCAGATTTATCTAAAACCAATGATTTGTCCAAGTTTTATACAAGAAATGTCCCAAGTGTCCCTATTTTTGACCAGTTTGATCCAATCCAGGTCTAAACTAGGACTAAACTAAAACTAAACCAGGACTACATCAGGTCTAAACCAGGACTATCTAAAGTTTTGACTAATCTGATCCCCGTCAACGGTAAAGAGGAGCATAAATTGTGAAGAAAATGTACAGAAATTCTATTGATACCAGTCATCCCAACCCCGTTGTGTCCCAGTTTTGTATTTTGAGTTTAGTCCTATTTCCATGCTATTATTGTGGTTTAAAGTGAAGTACTGCCAAAACTTTCTAGAAACATCCTATCAAATTCCTATGAGTACTTTTCCTTTGGTTAATATTTCCAAATGTAACTTGAATGCAGCCCTACTGATCCCGTAATACGATAGCATGCTAGGCTAATTTGCTAATTCTGATCTGTATTATAAGCCTAGAGTGCACGCTACGTCCCTGCTAACGTTAATTTGCCACATTCTTGAGCTTTGTTGGACTGTTCTGAAAGCCATCACGTTAGTCACTGTATCCTCACACTGTTGTACACACCTCTCTCACATTGAATCGGACCATCTCTCACAGAACGGAAAGGTAAGGCCAGACTTTGAACAGCTAATCCTAAATCTGCTCTTCCTCCTCCGCAATCTCTAACTTCTTCTTCATCGTTGCTCATTCCTAACTCTTCCTCTCGATATATAAAAATCTTCTCTGACGTACAGTCTCACATAGTGCACTTAGATGTTCCCACAAACTACGATGTGATTCGAGTGTTTGGTGGTTAGGGCTAGCTGGTATTGTCCATCTGTCATATCTGTGTGTACTGTACGTCTTTTTTTATTTTCATTTAATTTTATTCTTTACGTTATTCTTCTGTTTACAGTTTTGTGAAACCAACTATCTTGTGCCTCTTTTGTGATTGGTCACCGCATGAAAAGGTTTTGGGGCGTGGTTGGGTGATGCGTACAACCACCGTTATATATTATTATTTTTTCACGTGTTTGTTTTTTCTTTCAGTTTTGGTGTACCTGTGATGCATTATGGCTGCATGCTAGGGACAATTTATCGTTTAAGGATTGGTTAACGTGTGCTGAATGATATATGTTGTATTCTTGTTTTGTTATTCGTAGAGTGGATTCACCCCCCTGCACATCGCGGCTCACTATGGAAATGTAAACGTGGCCACACTTTTGCTGAACAGAGGAGCAGCGGTGGACTTCACAGCACGGGTGAGATTAGAATAGACAACATGTTTTAGTCTGGTACTTAAAGATCAGGACTAGGGACCAGGAAAATGTGTAATATTGGGGATCAATTTCATGATATCCAGTCAACTTAGGCTGCATTCAGACTGCAGCCTGAAGTGACCCAAATCCTATTTTTTTGCCCCTATGTTCCTGTATCTGATCTTTTAATGACAGTCTTAACGATACAGATCAGATTTTTTCAAATGCGACCCAGACCACTTGGATATGTGCACCTAAAACCGATACATATCCGATCTTTTGACATGTCTGAACGGCCAGGTCACATTCATCCCACCTACACTTCAGGCTTGGAGTCTAGTCAATGGAGGGAAAGCAAGTTAGATATTTGGGGGGGATCGCTGCCAGATTGGAGGGGTCTTATCAGAACCAGGTGGCTTTTGAAATGATTGCCAAAGAAATAGTCGGGCGCGGCTACAGGCGGTCCTGGCTCCAATGTCAACAAAAAATAAAGAGCCTGCGAGTCAAATAGTACAAGGAGGCTAAAGACTCAAACAAACGAATCGACCGTGGACATATAACCTGTCCATTTTACAAAGAACTGGACTGTATTTTGAGAGACAAGCTCAGCGTTTAGGCGACTTCTGTAAACTCTGAGCATGCTCACTGCGTGTGATGTTGTTGTGTCCTCCAATGTGTATGCTGGACACTTTGGGGGCGTTTAAAGTTCCCACTGGAGATCACATACAAGTCGCATTTAACTGGAAATGTGTACGACTTCGCAAAAAAATTGGATTTCACAAAAAAATCAGAATTGAGCATGAAGCCCTGCAGTCTGAACGTAGCCTTAGAGAAAACAGCTTCAAGCAAATTCACAAACTCAAAAGACAAGTTTAAACAAGGTGCAAACAAAGAACGTGGTGCAAATGAGGAAAAAAAAAAAAAAAAAAACGCTGCAAGATACAAAGACAAATGTAAAGTCGGGTGGAAATACAATAAAATAAACAGCATATGATGTACCGCATTGTACAGTGATATTTGTATTATTTATAAACACTGTATATCAATATAATTAAATAAAAGCCACATTACTGTAACAAACATTGAGCTGTTAAATTGAGAGCGCCCCACGCAGATTTGGAGATCTTCTGTGGTTTCGTTTGCAGGTGTTTTCTTTCGTTTTGTGCTTTGAATCGTTTCTCTATTTGCAGCACATTTGATGATGATATAGTTCTCTTTGTTTCTTACAGCTCATTTGTTTAATTTGCTCCACGTTCTTTGTTTGTACCTCGTTTAAACTTGTGTTTGAGTTTGTGAATTTGCATTGTCTCTGTACTTGAAGCTGTTTTCTCTAACTGAGACACACTGGGCCGTTGATGATGTTTAAGCTTCGTACAAAGCTGTTCAGTAGTTACTTACTGGATACATAACAGTTACAGAAAACATACAGAAAAACATAGTATCGATATCAGTATCATAACTTAAAAACCTGATATCTAATATGGAGATATAAGCACAATAGAAGTCCACCAGTTGAATCATCTGACACTGGAATACACTGAGTTACATAACATAAATTCTCAATATTTATGTTGTTTTGAGTAGTTTATAGTCATGTTTGTTAGTTTAGATAAAGATTAATTCAGTTGGAGTTGTTAGAGTGGTCACAATACAAACATTTTTTACTCATTTTACAAAGGAACTGACTTTTTTTTTTTGGATATTTGATACCGATCCAAATACCACAATAATTACCATGTGGCCGTAAATCTGTATAATCACTCAGTCCTACAGGTAGGTTCCATAGTGATGTCTTTTTTAGAATCAGTACCTACTCATATAATCTAGTTTTAATAATAAACTGGTCAAAATTTACTCCTAAAAGCTGAAAATTAAAGTCAGTCAATCACAATTCTATGTATTTAGATATATCAAAGCTGAACCTGCAGTGCTTTATGATGTTATGATGTAGCATGGAGACTAACTTTACATTGTCCAACACATCTCTGTTTCAGAAAAAAACACAAGAGGCAGGTGTGCTCAAAAATAACCTGCCCCCTGCACCCTTGTTAACACGAGAGGTGGGAGAATAAAGACCTCAAACAATTTAGTATCATCAAAAAGTCTGAATAGAGGGTATCTCGGTTGGCAGTCCCTAAATTGGGCCACGGAGAATTGGAAAAATGGTCTGATGAGGTTTGATTTCTGGAACGACACGGCAGCAGGGTCAAAATTTACATAATCACATGGCAGTATACACCCCTGCTAAAATGGCTTGTTAAGTGGGAATCATTTGGTGGACCATTGCACATTTATGACCAGTACTGTATAAGTGACAGCCAAACGAGGAAGGTGTATTTGCAAGTGTAAAATATGACACATTTCGGTGATATAATCTTTTATCTTCATCCATCCATAAAACAGCTTCAGATGTGCTATATTTAACCAGGCGCGTGGATAAAAATAACTACTCTGTCACCTCCGCCTTTGCAGTATAATTGAGCTGAGAGCTACACGCGCATATTTGGATAACACGCTATTAACAGCGGGACTTCATAATGGGTGTTTTCTTTACTGCAGGGCGTATCATTTGGATCAACAAGGTACATCAAGCAACAAGCCATTAGCTGCTCCAAGAAGTCAAAAAGGATCAGTTTTTGGGCCGATATTTGCACTTTTTAGCGAGTCGGCTATTGACCTTCAACTCGATATTTTACCAGCTACTTAAAGAATATGTCTGAAACTTTATTTGAACACTTAAGCACGAAGAGGACATTGCACAAAATGTGACTACCCAGCTCTCTTATCTAGTTGGTTGTAAAACAGGATCAGGAATGAGTTTGTTTGCCAATTTCAGGAATCGAAATACACTAGACTAGACGGTTTGCAAGAACCCCGGAAGTTGTAGACCGCACACCGGCCAAACATTGAAGAGCTGTGAAGCCATGACGTCAAACTCGAGCGCTTGTCTGTGTCCGTTTTGTGGAACAGCACAACAGTAAACAAAGGGGTTGAGATGGATGTAGACGAAGACATACATGCAGTGTTGGCAGTGATTCCCTAGGTCAAGGACAAAGAGAATGTTTGGTGAATTTTATCAAGGAGAAAGACATTGTTACTCTTTTTCCTACGGGATTTGGCACATTACATACGTCACAACCAGATTGCAGCGATTAAAGTACCCGTCTACCATCAAGCGAATGAATCTTAATGCTGCGAGGTCAGACGGTTTTTACGAAGTGAAACCAGCTGATGAATCTGGCTATGAGTTTGTAGCAAAAAGCAAAAAATATTGGCAGAGCTCATCGACCAATCAGTATCGGCATCGACCTTGAAAAAAATAACAATACATTGGTCAATCTGTAGTATGTAGTACGATTGGAGATAGTGTGCTTTGTTTTGTTTGCTTTCAAGAAGGAAGAAAGTATTGGTCAAAGCTCCCTGTGCAGACTGGACAATACATAGTCTCCTCAAGCAGAAGTGAGATTACACAGATCAAACTTTTTTCCATTATTTAACAAGCCACATATTTCTACAGTAATTGAATTCAGAATAGGGTTATCAACTTAAACTATATATTCATTTGAGCAGGTATCGATACTAAAAAAGTCACATTCACAGGACAGAAATGAACCTTTCCTGAATAGCTCTAGAATGGTCTTGAGCTGTTTCAGAACAAGTATAAGAGCACGTAGACTAGTAAACGCCCACGGACCACTATGGAACCTACCTGGACCACTGAAGGATTACACAGACATAAGTGGTAATATAAAAGAAAGTACTATGTCTAAAGAAAGAGTGTTTTTATTATCCTTGTGGTCAGAATGAGTATTGAGAATACATCAAAATGCACTGTTTCTTGAGGATGTGTGATACTGTATTTTTCTTGATCTTTGTCTTTGCTTGTCTCTTCAGAATGGCATCACTCCTCTTCATGTGGCCTCTAAGCGTGGGAACACTAACATGGTGCGCCTCCTACTGGACAGAGGCTCTCAGATCGATGCTAAAACCAGGGTGAGGACCATAAACACTATTAACACCACAAATCTCATATTAATTCACTGGTCTAAAAACGTTTATTGATTTATTAAGTAAGTGTTAGTAATTGGTGGTACTTGGTTTTCAAATCGTCTCTGTGATGTTGCCATACTCCCAGATGAAGGACCAAAGACAGATTTTCCTTATTCATTACATTGTACTTTCTTTTGAAATATACACAATTTGCAAATGTTGAACCTGGTCATTTCTATAACTGACTACACCTAAGAACTCACTGTATTACAACAGAAATCTGCATTTACCAGTATTCATTTTATCTGTCCCCATCTGTAGTAAATATTAACCTGAAATACACCACCAATACGATAACTAACTGTGGCTTGTTCTGTCATAGGACGGTCTGACTCCGCTTCACTGTGCGGCTCGCAGTGGACATGACACGGCTGTGGAACTGCTGCTGGAGAGGGGAGCCCCCCTGCTGGCCAGGACCAAGGTGGGCATAGCACACACCATTTATTCATACTACTGCATAAGAATGGAAATGATAGTAGATCTGTCATAATCAATGAAGGGAAGAATACTTTGAACATGTATTTAGTCACAGAATACTGAACACCTGCATTAAAATGTGTTTTATAATATGTTCTGTTACATGGAAGAGTAGTGCATTCTAAATAAAATAATAATAATAAATAACAATAATAAAGTTTAATTTAATAGTGTAAAAACAACATAGAATTATAAACAGCTTTATTTTTGTCTCACTGTTTGTTCTGCAGTAATTTGTATAATTAGACTCTCTCACCACACTATTTTTCTCACTAATACTGAGCAGTTTGAAGACTAAATTGTGCGAACTAAATTCTTAACTAAATTGTGTGAACTAAAAAACTAAATTCTGCAGTGTATTCCTTAGATTTAAAGAAGTAATTGTGTTCTGAATACCACCAAATGAAAGACTAACTGTATCAGAATAAAGGTGCTCAAAATGACTATTCTGAAAACATATTTTGCTGCATGTCTTCAGTTACTTCCCAATACTGGTCATAATAAATGCATTTATGGACAGAAAAAATGCATATCGCAGTCTGATCTCACCAAATGTAAAACAGTTAATTGAATCTGAATCATAAATTGTGCCTTTTTTCTCCTGTGTGTGCAGAACGGTCTGTCCCCTCTGCACATGGCGGCTCAGGGCGACCACGTGGAGTGTGTCAAACACCTGCTGCAGCACAAGGCGCCTGTTGATGATGTTACACTGGACTACCTGACCGCCCTGCACGTGGCCGCTCACTGTGGACACTACAGAGTCACCAAACTACTGCTGGACAAGAGAGCCAACCCCAACGCACGCGCCCTGGTAACATTCACAAAGTCATCATATAGGCTTTAATATCGCATGACAGGTTTTTATATTACGTTATGTTATGACTTGGTTTAGTGGGATAGTACCTGTGGTAAATATTTTGTGGTCAGTTTGTGGGGAAAAAAAGAGAAGAAAAATACAAAAATACAGGAAGTAACACTGAGTTTTGAAAGAAATAGTTATGTCAACAACACAGAAACTCCAACCAAAATGCAGGGGCCGTCAAGGCATTTTTCTGGCAGTGTAAAACTTCATTGAGCAGCATTTATTTGTATTAGTCTAATTATAAGTATTGTGTAATTTAGACATGTTTGACTCTCTTGGTTCCTTGTTAACAGTTGCAGAATTACATCTACATATGTCATATCTACTGCCCATGTATAACAAGGATGTAAAATTATTAACTTCACCGAATAGTGATCCTGAATATGTTGCCCTGTGTTTTTCAGAATGGCTTCACTCCACTGCACATCGCCTGTAAGAAGAACAGAGTGAAGGTGATGGAGCTGCTGGTCAAATATGGAGCCTCTATCCAAGCCATCACAGAGGTAAACAGAACACAGTTTACTAATCTAATCATTCAATTACTTACAAAACAGATGTGCCATGTGCAGTTTATGAAAAATAAAATTTATGCCAATTATAATATTCTGCTACTGTGCATTCTGATCCTTTATCCCACCCAAAACTCTGACACAAGTAAATATGATGATGTTTTGTATTTTCTTATTATTAGTTATTCAATGGCAGCAGATTTGGCTTGCAACGTTCAGTTTTGTAATGTAGTGTTTAATTCTCCATAGATTGACCTGTGTGCTTTGTGCTTGTTGTTCACAGTCTGGTCTCACCCCGATCCATGTGGCAGCCTTCATGGGCCACCTCAACATCGTCCTGCTGCTGCTGCAGAACGGAGCCTCCCCGGATGTCTCCAACATTGTGAGTGCAAAATTATTCAGTGTGCTATATGGAAATACATATAATTCTTGCATATAATGATTCATATGATCTGTTTGTGAATCAATGTTTCTATGTTTGCGTAGCGTGGAGAGACGGCACTACATATGGCAGCAAGAGCAGGCCAAGTCGAGGTGGTCCGATGTCTGCTGAGGAATGGAGCCATTGTGGATGCTCGGGCGCGGGTCAGTATCAGTATTAACACTGCATTAAAATATTTCTAAAAGCAAAAGTTTAAATGTGTCTTTTCTGTGTAATGGCATTCCTTTTAAATGTACAGCTGGGAAAAACAAATGTCTTTGTGAGGACAATAAAGTAACTTACTAACTAACCTGTTACTGTTGTGCACAGGAGGACCAGACACCCTTACATATCGCATCACGACTGGGTAAAACAGAAATCGTTCAGCTGCTGCTCCAGCACATGGCTCACCCTGACGCAGCCACCACCAACGGCTACACCCCCCTGCACATCTCCGCCCGCGAGGGTCAGGTGGAGACTGCCTCTGTGCTGCTGGAGGCAGGGGCCTCACACTCACTCGCCACTAAGGTACATACAGTGTAACTGTCAGTATGACAACATCCTGTAGTGTAATGGTGTTGAACTGACAGGAAAAGAAAACCAACAGTTATGTGGTTCATATTTAGATCTGGAGGTGTGGTTAAACACAGCCTTCACCTTATTCTGTCCACACACTTTTACATGTGCACGTGCACAAACAAGTCAACAATAGACTCTTTCTGTCCCGTGGTGATTCCCAGAATGAGGTCAATAGCAGGGTAATGGAGCAGCTCACTAAAATAAATGGTCGACATTTGTGAATTGACTTTTTGGAACAATCAAAGTATACAGACTAAAAACAGCCAGTACACACACACTATCATTTGTCCTGCACAAAAGCTCATATTATACTTCATACCTGCTGGTCCAGCACATTTTAATTTGAGACATAAATAGTTGAACATTTTGACCCACACAAACACAAAACCAACATTTGTCTAAGTTAAGCAGTAAAAGGTTTGCATAAGTGTTTGCCTGACCCAGTTGGATAAATGATACATGAGGCTGTACAGCTGCTGCTGTGTCTGAATTGTGTATGACGCTTAAACAGCAGTGGTTTTAGTGATTTATTCTCCTCCCTGTGCCAGGTTCACTCCAGGACACCATTAACAGCTCTACTCTTTGTCATCAAGTTTACTCACACAACTGTGTCGTAAGAATAATCTGCAGCAAAAAATATAACGTGTTCAACTTGAGTCGTCAATTAATGCAATATTTATATTAAGTTAAACAGTTCAACTTAATGGACCCTCTGTGTTGTGACCTGGATTTTAGTCCCTCTATTTTGAGAATCTTTGTTTTTCTGTTTGTAGGATTTTAAATGTCATCTTTAAAATTTAATACATGAAACAATGACTTAAAAGACAAATAATTTTATAACTGCACCACACCCTTTGCATAAAAAGTGGACAGTTAACAACAAAGCCGACTTAGTTTAAATAATTGCTTCACTCATTACATTAAAATAACCAATTTAAACCACATTTCCACATGACTGACCATTCAGCAGCTCTGAGATTAAACAGCAGCTCCTGTGATGAGCGATGGCAGGGTCCGCTGCTGTTACTATGGAAACCAGAGCAGAACCATAAGTCTAACATTAGCGTAATGACAGTGCACAGACATGTATTTTCTAATGCTGCTCGTGTGGTATCGCCCGCTCCTCCCCCTAAACATGTCTGATATAATCCCGGCTCAAAACAAAGGAGGGTCCATCAACTGGGCTCCAGCACCGGTCCCTCCCAGATTAGGATGAATGAACACGGATAAAGAGCGCCCTCTGCTGATTGTGTTAGGCAGAGCAGAAGAGGATTTACTTTTTGAAACAGAATCATTTCAAACCTGAACCTAACCTCAGTCATGTTAAAATTATACATATTTTAAGGGATTTTTTGTTTTGCTTGTTTTTACATACAGAAAGGCTTCACTCCCCTTCATGTGGCAGCTAAGTACGGAAGCCTGGATGTGGCCAAACTTCTGCTGCAGCGCCGTGCCCCACCTGACTCTGCTGGAAAGGTATTAAGCAAAAGAAACCAGACATTTGAACCAAGCGGCATATGTGAATTATTTTAACACGGAAATTACAAGGTTTTCAGAAAGGCCCTTTTTACTTCCAAATGTACTGAATTGAACTACTATTATGTGGTAAGAATAGATTCATAAGGATAAATACTAGATGAACAAAACGAAATATTTAACCCTTCCAGACCAACGGTATCATATATGATACCTTGGAATATGTTTTATATAACTGTATAACTTTCCAAACATAAAAGATAGAAACATACTCTTGAAAAGCTTAGAGTTGTGGCTTTCTGAGGATATTTGCAGCATTATCCGACGTCACACGCACGCTGCAGGGAAAACGAGTGTCGCTCCATTGATTTTGATCGGCTTAAACTTTGCCAGAGAGTGTAGTGAGTCAAGATGGTCGCCTGTTCTGAGCGTCTGTGTTTGTAACAATTGAAAAAGCCGCTCTAAGTGCAGTTATTTCTCAAATAAATGGCAAATTACATATCTTGGTCTGTGTAATTGCGCATTCCTTGCTATTTTTATTTGAAATTTCACTCAAAATGTACAAATCCAAATGTAATAAACACCATCAATCAAACAATCCACTGAATGTGATGACTGGCACCAATAAAGTCATGGATGGGGCCATTGCACTTTTGTTTTGTTTTGAGGCAATAAGGATATTTTTAATTTACTTACAGACTTGATATTTTGCACTTTTGTAGCTAAGGCCCTACATTAAGCATTTTTATGTCCAAAAAGTTGTTTATACATGTTTGCTATGCGTGCATTTTGTATGAAAGAGTGAATTTTATTTTATAAAAAAAAAGAATTTTCATTCGTATTTCTGGTCCTGTATCTTTTATTACAGCCATAATAAAAAAATGTTGACACAACTACAGCATGCATATTGTAAAATAACAGGTTGTACTGAAAAAAAGGATGTATAACACTTCACTAGGGGGTAAAAGGTGGAGTTCTAATAGCAAAATTAAGAAAAAAATCCAGGCGAAGACAAATGTATTAAAATTGCTCTTAGGTCCATCTTTTTTCATTTTCTTGTATTATTTTTAGCATAACACTTTGTCACATTTTGTCCTGGAAGTTTAATAACAATTTAACATTATTCTAATTTACCCTAAAGTTAAACATCTGACCTCAGCATGAACCTCTGTGCAATCTGCTTCTCCATCTTTTCAGAATGGACTCACCCCGCTCCACGTTGCAGCTCATTATGATAACCAGAAGGTGGCGCTCCTGCTGCTGGATAAGAACGCATCACCCCACACCATGGCCAAGGTGAGAACAAGAAATCCACTATATAAAACATAATTCTGCTAAAAATACCATTAATCTTGTTTGGACACAATACTTATATTCAATTTCTATACTAAGATAAAGACTTGATAATATTTCAACGCCATAATGATACTGACCAGGACTGAGACTGGGACCAAGATCAGGACCAGACCAGGATTAAGACCAGGATCAGGACTGAGACCGAGACCAGACCAGGACTGAGACCAGGACTACAACCAGTTTAGACCTGGTTTGGACCTGTCGTAGTCCTGTTTTAGTCCTAGTTCAGTCCGTATGCGGTACAAAATTCCGGCACCGCAGTTTAAGTCACAGAAACGGGAAAGAGCCATTATCCGTTTTTCCATTATTCTTTTAAACACATAATTGAAAACTGAAAAAACTAATCGTTATCCTTTTTTTTTTTTTTTTTTTTCATTTTGGTTTTAAAGACAAATAATGAAGAAAATAGTTGTTTTGTTGTTTTTTCATTTTCTTATTTTTGGTTTTATATTGAAAAACGAATGAACGAATGATACACAGATTAAACTAGTTTCAGTAAAAGTTTTAGTATAGTTTGGGCAGCTTTGAATTGGTAATCTCACTTGACATTTTACTCTCAGGTTCTAATTTAAAAGCAATATTATAAAATAATCACTTATCCCTCACATAAAACACATGTCTTTTGCTTGTTCCTGGGGCAGAATGGCTACACTCCTCTCCACATCGCAGCCAAGAAGAACCAGATGGAGATCGCCACAGTGCTGCTGGACTACGGGGCAGAGACCAACATCCTGACCAAACAGGGCGTGACCCCCCTGCACCTGGCGTCTCAGGAGGGACACGCTGAGATGGCTGCTCTGCTGCTCAGCAAGGGGGCGCAGGTCAACACCCCCACCAAGGTACGGCTCAGCTCTGGAACAACGAGTCGTGTTTATGTTCTGGATTTTCATGGTGTCTAATTTCAGATCAATCCATGACTCCTGAAAGATAGAAAATTATGTGTGATTAACAAGTTAAAACTAAATATTATGTCTTTTAAATGTGGGAAAAGTATAACAGGAAGCTGAAACCATAAATGTAACTCTATGGCAGATTCCAATTTTTTATAGAAATGTTTACAGATGTTGAGGACTATTATTATTTGTTATGGATTGGCTCCACACATTTACCATCAGTTCAATTCAATTCACATTTATTTATATAACACAGACATGTCAAACTCAAATTTGGCCCACGATATAATTATATTTGGCCCGCAAGATCATATCAAATATTTATTAGAGCTGCTCGCTGCCTACAGATAGACTATAGAGACATTATTTATTTAAAATTGTGTTATTATTTTATATTCTGCTTGTTCTGGATTCAGTGTTTAAGCAAAACTATTATTAAACATTTATTTTAATAAGAAAAAGGTTTAACATTACATATCTTGAAAGAAGAGAAAACATGCAGATGTTGTTGAAATTTTGCAATAAATATTTAGTCTGGCCCATGACTTAGTCCCAGTTTTTAATTTTGGCCTCTGGGAATTTGAGTTTGACATGATATAACACATTTAAAACAACTCCAGCTGAACAAAGTGCTTCACATAAAACTCAACAAAAACAGAAGAAACAACTAATTAATTAACTAATTAATCTCATGTCTGAAAGTCCTTTCATTTGACAACAATCGTGTTTTTGGGGTTGAATAATGGCACCACTTTCTGAAGCCAATGTGAAAAAAATCTGTTCACTTTGTTTATTTATACTGACTAAAGATGTTGAACTTGGAAGACAGTTTTGGTTTCACGTGGATAGGCCCAGTGATTACAGAGATAATAACCTTACTAATGGTCCCTCAGACAAGTTTTAAAACACGAGGCGACAGATCCTTTCAAACTATCTCCCCTAAACTCTGTAATGAACTGCCTCCTTACCTACAAACATTTTTCTTTGAACAAGTGTTCCTGCCCGCTCAGGTTTAGAGCTGCTATGACTGATTTTATTTTATTATGAAGGTATCTCCTACTGTTTTTATGTTTTGTATGTGAAGCACTTTGTGACCTATGTCTGTGAAAAGCACTATATAAATAAACTTAACTTACTTACGCACTTACTTGACCATAAACCAGGTCAATAACTCTGCACTAACTCTCCATGGAATTTTAGCAAAATTTTATAGTACTGTGATGTCTCTGAACACAAATTAAACAAGTGAAAAATGAAATGTGAAGGTTTTAATATTTTGTATGTGTTTTATTTTGATAAACGTGTGTATTTGTCGCAGAGTGGCCTGACGTCCCTTCACCTCGCCGCTCAGGAGGACAAAGTGTCTGTGGCTGAGATCCTGGTTCGACACGGATCCACTCTCGACCAGCAAACCAAAGTATGAGGAGTATCACTTATTTTTAATTTTTATATTTTAGAAAGTAAATCTATAAATGTGATGATATATAATAAAAATGTGTTGTTTTGCAGTTGGGCTACACGCCGCTCATTGTAGCATGTCACTATGGCAACGGCAAAATGGTGAACTTCCTGTTACAGAACGGAGCCAGTGTGAATGCCAAAACTAAGGTACTGTTCCTCCAACATTTCAAAGAATCTGTATTATGAACTGTGGTATCATAAAAAAGAGAAAATTAAAATAAATGTATGGAAGTTCCAAACTTTTTTTTTTTTTACCTCCGTCTAGGACTGTGCAGTTACAAATATGTTGTAATCAGAAATACAATCAATTAACTCCTGTTCAGAATTAATACAGTAGCTCAGCTGGTAAGAGCGTTTGTTTGCTGATCAGAAGGTTGGCAACTGGACTTGGACTTAGACAAACTTTATTGATCCACAAGGGAAATTATTTGGACACTGTAGCTCACACATCACAATATAATAAAAAGAGAAAAAATATAAATGGTAATAATAAATTCTAAACAAGTAGCAAACCGGTCAAAAGTTTTAGAACACCCACATTTTTCCAGTTATTTGTTGCAATTCAAGTCGTGCAAGTCCAATGAAGAGCTTGAAATGGTACAAAGGTAAGAACTGAACAGTCAGAGGTAAAAAAAAAAAAAAAAGGTAAATGATACAAAACACAAGTCCTAAAAGTACTAAAATCAACGACTCCTTATTTTTGTCTCGTGATACAAAGGCAGAAAACAGGAATTGCCAAATAAGGGTCAATTTTGAGCTCAATATTTTTTCACATACAAATATTTCTTCATTATAGCTACTAGTTGTCACATTTTGGGAGCCCTACCTATTATACTTTTGTCTGGACAAACAGAAACTTTGAGGTCATTTTTCTCAGTTTCACACTCTGGTGAGTTAAGTCTAATGTATTTTTTTCCTGTTCCTTTTCAGAATGGATACACTCCACTTCACCAAGCGGCCCAGCAGGGAAATACACATATCATCAATGTGCTGCTGCAGTACGGAGCCAAGCCCAACGCCATCACTGTGGTACTTATTTGAGTCACGTACAATCTACTGTATATATACGAAATGTACTTCTCTAGTCAGCCATTCATATACGTTTATTTTGTTTTGTTTTTCAGAACGGTAACACTGCTCTGGGGATCGCCCGGAGGCTCGGCTACATCTCTGTGGTGGACACGCTCAGAGTCATCACAGAGGAGATCATCACCACCACTACGGTATGAAATTATGTTAAAAAAATACAAATCTCCTGATTACTATCATTAAGAAGTTGCAGATACGATACATACCTCGATACATGGGCCACGATATGATACATACCTCGATACAGTTCACTTTCTGCTCGATACGATATATTTCAAATCGATTTGATACAGTTCAATAAAAAATAAAGTGTGTCTTTAGTCAGTCTTGTGCAAAGTTCATATGAAACACGCCCATTTTAATCATCAAAACAGTGAAAATGTCAAATGTGTTGCATAAACGAGTTACCTTCCTCTAAACAAGCAACAAAACTGTAGCTCTGTAACAAAATAATTTTGTAAAATACACCAAAAATCTTCTTGGCGATATATCGATACAGAAGCCCACGATATCAATACTGCATCGTCACATTTAACGATACGATATAGTGATTTCCATATTTTTCCACACCCCTACTCCTGATTATGAAATGAATAAAACAATACTTATAATAAATATGTGTTATGTAACTTTACAGACGGTGACAGAGAAGCATAAACTCAATGTACCTGAAACCATGACTGAAGTCTTGGACGTGTCAGATGAAGAGGGTGAGTCGTCAAAACACACGAGTTCATCTATTTTTCCAGAATTTTACAAGTTACTCAATCTGTAATAAATTCAGCGCAACAATATTTGGTAGCGACATTTGTATCCTGAGACTTTCAAAGATACTAGACTTGAGAAATGACATTTTATTCACACACACAGCCCTGAGCTCCATTGATGAAGATGTTATATCAGACCTGGAAACACTAGAAGGTACAGGGCATGTGTTTGGACATCTGCTGTGCGGTTAGCATGAGTGAACACTAATACTTGTTTAAATCAGAATGTAGACAAGAAAGGCTATACAAATAATCCCTGATCTTAGTGTTGTTTTGTCTCTCTGAGTGGGCAGTAAGTAGAGGCTATAACAGTGAGTTTCATTAAAAGGCCATATTGAGTATTGTGAGTCTTATGTCATGTTACAGTGGTGTTATCTTGTCAAAAACATACCTGTGTTTTGTTTCATTTACACATTACATTTGAGTAATCCTTTATTATTAGTCCATCTGCATCTGCAAAGCTCAAAATGGATTGGCTCCTCCTTCGCCTAACAGCTCCTTAAATCTTTAGTTCAATAGAGTTGGACTATTCCTGGTCTAAAATGATCCAGATGATTCTAACGGTGAATGGACTCAAGTAAGTCTCAAGTCTTTGACCTCAAGTCCGAGTCAAGTCCCAAGTCAAATAGAGGCAAGTCCAAGTCGAGCCTTGAGTCACTGGCCCATAAGTCCAAGTCAAGTCTAAGTCGTCTACTTTGAGCTTCAAGTCATTTCAAGTCTTTAAAAGCACCAAATAGAGCTTCGATTTTTGCAATTTATATGAATTCAAACATAAACTGTACTTTAAAAAATCATAGTATATTTCTATATGCATATTAATAGTAATAATAGAGTATATAAGAGTTGTAGAAATGTATTTATTCTTGACAAGATCTTAGTGTGAATCATTACGATCAGAATAGAAAGAATTCAGATTTAAAAGTGCTTCTCAGGTCTCAAGTCCGAGTCGAATCCCAAGTCTTAGTCCGTTTTATCAAGTCAAGTCTCAAGTCCTAAAAATAGTGTTTTGAGTTTGAGAGGAAATGCAAAAAGTAAGTAGGAGTTTGTGTGTTAAATATTTGTGAATGAAACAAAACACAGCTACAGGTCTGTTTGTGATAACATAGATAACATAACATTTTTCTTTTTCTTTTTTTTTCAGTTTAGTTTATTTATTTAATGAGACAGGGACAGTGCACAACAAACATGAGCCTTAACAGGAGAGATGCATTGTACCAGGTTGTAGCGCCAGTGCTAAGTTCCACTTTTAGTCCCTACAGTAGTAAAATAGTGTAATATGGGCCATTTAAGCATGTAGTGTTGACTTGCCTGTATTACTAATGATAAAATATAAAAACAAGTGATTTGGTTGGTTTAATCTAACAACATAATAACATATAATGCTTCTACAATAAGATTATAATTGTAATGCCTTATCTTTCAAATGTATTACTAGTTCATTCTTCATAACGAAGTGAACCAAGGCATAAACCAGCTCTTCACTGTTCAGCCACTGACAGAATAGCATGTTGCTCTTTACTGCCACCTTCTGGTTGAGTGTGTCAACGTTTGAATATTTGAGAGTAAAACTGCATTTGAACTGCCCGTCTTGGTTGTGGTTTGAGCATAGTTTTATCCTGGTATAGACCTGGTTTGGTCCTTTTCTTGTCCTTTTTTAATCCTGAGCTAGTCCAGATTGAAGGTCCTAAAAGATTTCCCCATGAATTTGAGCAAAATTTGCCTTGCTCCTGCACAACATATATATTATATAAGCAGCTCTTGAGATCAAAATCTAGTTAAATTATCTAGTTAAAAAGCATGCCAATTGCTGCTAAAATGAACTAGTTCTGTTTTTCACATTTTTAAGACAGTACAGGTACGTTTAAGTCCCTGGTTTAAGTTTGATTGGAACTTTTTTCCGAGAGAACACATAGCCTCAAGATGACAGATTAGACGAATTGCTGCTTCAGTCCCATCTGTGCTGTGCTCAAGTCTGTACATTTCTTGATAAATTACACTTTTGTATTTGTCCAATAGGAGACGATACGATGACAGGTGATGGAGGGGAGTACCTGAGAGCGGAGGACCTGAGGGAGCTCGGGGACGACTCTCTCCCAGGACAATATCTGGACGGGATGAACTACCTGCGCTTCAGCCTGGAGGGGGGACGCACGGACAGGTACATCACAAGAATATAACAAAATAACAGAACAGTCACATGTGTTTGTTTGATAATACTACTGGGATAATGTGTTGAATTTAAATCATTACATTATGTTTTTTATTACATCTATTTGATATGAATTGAAAGTAGAAAAAATTTGAAAAATGAGATTGACACATCTGTAATAATAATAAAATGCGTATGTTTTATATAGCGCTTTTACAGGTAACATGGCTTCTAAAAGCTATGACGATTCATCACAGATTAAACTATTATGGATTTACTCGACCAAATATCATGAGATAAAAAAAAAAAAAAAAGTAGACAAAATAAATAAATAAATAAATAATAATAATAATAAGTGTGCAAATACTTTTAGGATCATTAAGGCTAAAATATGAACTGCTGAACTACAATAAATGAATTATGTCTTGATTTCAGAACAGTTTGTAGAGGTCTAAATATAGGGTTAGCCAGTTTCATATTTGATTTATTCAAAAGTCATTCAGAGATGACATAATTTACATATTTAAAGTCAACATATTATTTCTAAGTTAAGTGTTAAGTTAATATTCACAAAGTCTGTCTGTTGTCCACTCACTAAACTAACCTCTTGTCTGTTATGTCTGTTATGTGTTGTGCGACGTGTCCTGCTCATTCTTCATCGTTGGTCTTCATGTCTTCTGTATCTTCTGTGTAGTCGGGTGCGAAGGTACGCTCACCCTAACGCTGGGTATAGGTAGAATGACCAGATTTTCAAAATAAAAAACTGGGACATCCTGGTTTTTTGGTGGTTGGTAATAATAAAATTGTGAAACAAGTACAAATAATTCATGACTAATGTGAGTCAGTATAGTCACATTTTCTTTGTGTTTTGGTCATTTTTAAGCAGCTTTTCTGTGTTTTACCTAAACAAATAACAATTTATGAGTCCCTTTACTGTTGGCAGGTGTGAGATTGGTCAAAAATAGGGACACCTGGGACATTTCTTGTATAAAACTGGGACAAATCACTGGTTTTGGATAAATCTGCTGGGACAGGGGACACAGGGCTCAAAACTGAGACTGTTCTGGGTAGATTTTCAAAATTCTAAACTGACACAGATGGGTTGGGGTGGTTGGTATAAGTAAAATTGTGAAAAGAGCGTGTAACTTTGTGCATTCTTGTGTCAGTCATAATCTGAGAGGCTCCTGACGCTGTGTTTTTTGCTTTACCGTCATTTGCAAACACAGTTTTCTATATTTTGTCTTAACAAATGACAATTGACGCTCCTCTTTACTGTTGGCAGGGACCAAATTTGTCAAAAAATTGTGATAGTCCTGATTTAGTTCTGGTTTAGTCTTAGTTTAGTCCTGGTTTAGACCTGGTGTAGTTCTGATTTAGTCTGTTTAGTCCTGGTTTAGACCTGGTTTAGGTCAAGCTGCTCAAAAATAGGGACACCTGGGACATTTCTTGATAAAACTGGGACAAATCAGTGGTTTTGTATAAATCTACTGGGACAGGGGACACAGGGCTCAACACTGGGACTGTCCTGGGTAAACAGGGACTTTTGGTCACCCTAGTCTGGTCAACCTAACTTAGTAACAGTATCTACTAAATAGTTTACAGTTTTTTAGTAGTAGTGGTAACTCCCATCATCTAATTGTGTCCCCATAAATGTTTGTTAAATCATGGTTTTATATAAATATCTGTTCTGATCTGTTGTGGTTTCCAGTTCGGACAGGTCCTTCACCCCGACCCACCACAGCTACTACTCCCCCAAACACGAGGGTCTGATGGAGGAGCTGCTCAACAGTCAGCAGGTACGGCTAAACAATGATCATTTCATTAATTTATTTGCAATTTTTTTGTCATTTTGGGATTTTTTTTTCTTTTCTTTTTGTGTTCCTCAGATTTCGTCCCTGGCCAGAGAGAATGACAGAGAGAACTACAGGCTGAGCTGGGGCACAGAGAACTTGGACAATGTGGCCCTGTCCTCTAGCCCCATCCACTCTGGGTAAGTCGGAGATGGAAATTTTATGTTAAATATGTTTAATGTCATTGTTTTCCCATTAGAAACCCCCAAAAAATGAATTACTGTGTGCATCTTGCTATATAGTTATTGGCTCTAATTTACTAGAATTGTAAAACCTCTCTATGTCCAGCAGATTTTACTCTTAATTAATCTATAGCTCATTCATTCACAATTACAATCATGTTTATATAGTGTTATTACTTTTAAATATGTAATGAACCTGAGTGAATACATATAACGTTTGATTAAAATCCTTAAGCTTTTTTTGGTTTTTTTGTAAATTTTTAGTGGTTACTGAACAAAAGAATAATTTTTTTATATACACTACATTACACACTGTTATTAAGTGAGCCTGTTTTCTCTCTGGATCTCTCGTTGTTGTCGTTCTGGTTGTAGTCGCTCTTCTCCGTGCCACCATGGAGACCACAGCAGGTGACCCTCTGCATCCTGGTGTTCACAACCCCACAACCCCTGACCCCAGCTCCACCGTCCTGCCCTTTTCTCTCTCACCCTCTCACTTCCCTCACCTCCACCCTCCTGCCTCCTACAGTGTGCTCTCCTCTGGGGGAGGTGTTCATGTGTTTGTTATGTCATTTATGTCTGTCTACAAAAATACTGTGTCACAACTCATCCAGTATTGACAGGACAGAAAAGGAAAGCCAAGTTTATATTGGTACACAAAGTAATTCAAAGTGCTTTACAGAATGAGAAATACATTAAAATCACAATACAAATAAATCAAAACATAAATCATCATCATAAAATTAAAAAGAGAGAGACATTAAGTGAGAGAAAAGAGAAATTATCTGTCCATGCAGCAAGATCATTTTACTTGCCAAGTTATCTTAAAATAAACTACCTCTAGACTAGAATTAAGCATCTCTGAACTAGTAAGTAGATAATAAATCTGAAAACAAGAAAACAAGTTTTAAAATCTTGGCCAGATCAGAGAAATTTACAGTGTAGTTTATTCTTCATCATCATAACAAAGGCATAACGCAGCTCAGAATAGCATGTTGCTCTTTACTGCCACCTTCTGCTTGAGTGTGTCAGTGTTTGAACATTTTGAGACTAAAGCTGCATTCACACTGGCTGACTTGGTGCAAAATGAAAGAAAACTTTTCAGTCATATGCACAACTAAACAGAACCATTTTGAGCCAAGATTTAAACAGAGTCAAAGCAGAGGCCTGTATCACATCTTCAGGAAGACCAGGTTTTAGCTGCATGAATCTGAAACTCTGACTCCCGTGTTTAGTCCTGACTTTGGGCACCAGCAGGAGGCCGGTCCTTGAGCTCCTCAGAGTGCAGATGGTTCATATAGGACTAAAATGTCACAGATGTACTTTGGTTCTCAGCCATGGAGAGACTTGTGCATAAGCCGAGCCGCTTTAAAGTCTATTCTCTGAGCCACAGGAGCCAGTGCAGAGACTCGTACTTCCTGGTTCCACTCAGGACCCGAGCTGCAGCATTTTGGAAAACAATAATGAACTATAACACAAGCAGTTTACAGCCAAGATGAGTGTATTTATCTAAATGAGTCTTAGCATTCACCCAACAAAGCAAATCGACCTGTTTGCACTTTGTAAATATGTCTTGTCCCAGTACAGATATATTGAATAAGCAGCTTTTGAGGTCAAAATAAATCCACTGTTATATAATCTACATCTAATTATAAAGCTTTACTGTATATTATTAGCATGCTAGTTGTTTTTAGCTTTACCATGATGGGAAATTCCACTCTGGCCTCTGAAAGTTGTGAAATGCGCTTATAAATTATTAAGATGTTCTGAATGCATAAGTTAATTGAGGAATAACTTTTGACTAATAGTAACTGTTTAAAATCAACTTCAGGTACAGTTCCTTTAAACAGTCATTTTTATGTCTGATTATGATAAAGAACGAGGGCAGGGATTTGATTCTGCCCTAGGGAAAGACACTTCGGTTACAGTAAAGTGGCTGTTTGCGAGTGGAATGGCATCTGAAATCGCTGTATCTCAGGGGTTAGGTTACGTTTTGTTTGTCTTCATATCTTTGTTTGTGGAATGGTGATGATCCCTCACAGTGATGCACCCACAGCCTCTTTGTGGTCCATCTTCTCGTGTGTGTGCATGTGGTGAGACACAGCATGGCATTCACAGTGAAACCTTATCCAAGTGTGAGTCATTGCATCGTTCCATGTTGATATTACTGTGACCAAATGCTGACGATGTTTTTCATATCATTCATTTAAGTGGTCAAACGTGACACTGCACCTTCTTTAATTTCATCTTAAATTAGGGCTGCAACTAATAGATTATTTTGACTAATACCAGTAAAATGATTCATGTTATTGTAAATTTATTTTAATAATGTTTCTGTCTTTGTTATAAAAGATCTTTGGCTTGTGTTTTAGAGTCTGTATAGTCCAGATAACAATTACAATTATTAAAATACAATTATTATTTTATAGATCAGGGGTCTCCAACTTGTGCCTTGATAGGCACCAGTAGCTCTCCACCTCTTAGCAACTTGCTAAGAATATACTTTTTTTGTGTTGAATAACTAAAATTTGATGTATAGAATGACTGTTAAAACTGTAAATATATAATTTTTACGCCAGCTTTACTTTCTGCACTAATAAATGGATAATGGTGTATGTTTTATAGGCCTCTAACTGTTCCTATCTAAGGCTGTAGCTTTTGTATTTTTCGGACTATAAATCTCACCAGCCAAAAAATCTGTAATGAAAAAAAAAAGTATATAAGTCGCACTTATTGGGGGAAATTTATGATATTTATATATGAATATAAATGTATATAAAATCAGAGACCAGGAACCGACATTTCATCTTGAAAGGCAAGTTCTATTAATAACAATAGAACAGAGAACAACAGACTGTTATCATCACATATGAACAGGTCTTCAGATAAATATAGCATAAACAACAGAACAGAACAAGTTTATCAAACTCTCCATCTCACTCCAGATCACTAAATCTCCACGACCTCCGGAGGTAAATGGAGCACTTCTTCCTCTTCTGTGTAGCTGTCATCAGACTCAGCATCAGTTCCCGTTAGAATTATTCCGGCCTTTCTGAATCCCAAGTGAGCTGACTTATTTTCAGTGGTGTAGAAGTAATGGTGCGATTGACTGACATGATCCCAGACAAGACAGAGGCTTTCTCTGCAGGAGACATGCGCAGTAGAGCCAAGTGACAGTGGTACAGGAGTAATAGGAGTAGCAAATACAGACATGCAAGACTAGAGTGCCCTCTAGAGGCTGTCAGTGTGAAAATGTTTTATACATAGTTCGCACTGCAGTGTAAGTCGCAGGACCACCCAAACCATGAAAAAAATGTGACTTATAGTCAGAAAAATACTGTACTCAGTTTCTTGTGACTGATAAAATGAGTAGCTCTCTGGCATTTTTGTTTTGTAAATGTAGCTCACCAGAGGAAAAAAAGTTGGAGACCCCTGTTGATGATTAGTCACAGTTAATCAGTTAATTGTTGCAGCCCTATGTCATATTGTGTTTTTGTTATTTTCTATTTTGTTGTATTGAACCATTTCTGTTTTTCCTCTGGTGTAGTTTCTTGGTGAGCTTCATGGTGGACGCGCGGGGAGGAGCCATGCGCGGCTGTCGGCACAATGGCCTCCGCATCATCATCCCCCCAAAGAAGTGCAGCGCTCCCACCCGCATCACCTGTCGCCTGGTCAAGAGGCACCGGCTGGCCTCCATGCCCCCCATGGTGGAGGGCGAGGGGCTGGCCAGCAGGATCATCGAGGTGGGGCCCTCCGGAGCACAGTTCCTCGGGTAAGGCAACAAAAGGATTTCAGGTACTTTTTAAGATTAACGTACACTTTATTGTCCCCGTGGGAAATTCGTCATCTGCATTTGAAATTAGGGCTGAACGATTTGGGAAAAATATAGATTTTTTTTCTGGTAAGAATGATGATTGCGATTAGATTTGTGGCTTCTGTTGACATTTTAAACACTGAAATATGACTGAACTAATTCAAGAATCCCATTTCAGAACATATTTGTATAGATCTAAACTAAAGGGTTAGCAGTTTTTATGCAGAATAACACAGAAGATTTTGATGTTTGTGGAGAAAATTACAGTACCTTATTTTCTGCACTATAGGGTGCACTTAAGAGCCTTTAATTTAATCAAAAAACGACTGCGCGCCTTATAATCCAGAGCGCCTTATATATGAATTCGTTCAAGTGTCTTAGTACGACTTTAGTAAACTACAAAGCCGCACCACTTGCAGCATTACAGCTCCCGTAGTCAGGAGCTTTTAATATCAAAATGCACCTGTCAAGAAACACGCTTACAACGCCCACTTTAAACTCAAGGCTATTATAAAGATAAAGATCCTGGGCTAAGGATCAGTATCAACTGTGGTCCGAGTTTTCACCAAGACCGGAATCATCACTGAACTGCCAGGGAACAGTAACCACACTGATTCGGATAATGACGAGAGTTATACAAGTTATCGTGAATACACTAACAATTTAGCGTCTCAGACAGTAATTTTTTTACGTGTTACAACTGAACAAAGCTGAGAGTTATTGTAAACATGTTAAATAAATTTTGACTGACTTATCGAACTGTTGTGTTTCGTTTAATGTTATCTAATCTAATCTTATAGTCCGGTGCGGTTTATATGTGAAAATAGTTCAAAAATAGACGATTCAATGACAGTGTGCCTTTTAATCCAGAGTGCCCTATAGTGCGGAAAATACGGTAATTCAAAAATCACAGCCTTTGTAATTTGCTAATTCTGTCAAAATCTGATTCTGATTCAACTCCGATGAATTTTATGACCCTGTTTTAAATACTGTATTCTAAAAACACAATAAAATGTTTTTAAAAAGCTACAAATGTTTGTCAGGTAAGGCAATTTCAATACAAACAATACAATACATTCACTTCCATGGTGAAATCCGAGGATTGATCCGGATATCCAAGGTTTACTTTGGTTTACTTTGCATAACGGCGCCTATATGCTTAAAACTGATGAAGGTTGATTAGGTATTTGTGAATTTCCAGTCTCTAATCCCTAACATGCTGCCTTATTGTGCCCTTGCCTTACTAAACTGGTTTCTGCTCTACAGGTCTTCACAGCATGGCCTTTTCTTTAACAGCACTTTTTACTTACGCTTTTCTTATTAACAGCTCAAACGCTCCATGAGTAGTTTGATATGTTTAAGTGCATTAAAATAAAACTCTTACAATCCAACTTTAGAATCCTTTTCATATTAGGGCTGATCCATTATGTAAAAAAGTCATATAATTGGATGTATTTTAAGATTTCTCAGTGAGCACAGAATAGAATTATGAGAAAAAGAGGGGAAAAATAAGTTAAGTGTTACCTTTTTGGTCTTATATTTGATTTATCTCAGTGAAATATTATATTATTTAAATTTTATTGGATTAAATAAATGAAACTATCACAATTATTTGAGTTTGGATTTTGAAAAAAGGGGTTTATGTAGTGTAAAAATTTTACTTGTATTAGAGGGATAGAGTTTATAATTTATCAGTAATTTTGTTTTGGGATTCATGGAGTTGATTTATTATAAAAGTGGCTTTGCTCCAGGTTTTGAGGAGCAATTATACCACCGATGTAATTGGTTATAGTAACTTAACTATCTAATAAGTAAAAAAAAAATAATTAATTAATTAATAAATAATAATAATAATAATAATAATAATAATAATAATAATAATAAATACATAAATTAATAAAATAAATGAATAAAATAAATAAACAAATAAACTAACAAACCGTAGCAGCAGATACGGCTGTAGTCCCTGTGGTCTGGTGTTTGCTGAGCCCAGTCCAAAGTTGTTGTGTGCTCTCTCTCCTCTCTGCTGCGCGTGGACTCTGACCGCTCAGTAAACTGCACCTCCCCAGTGCCCCCCCTCCGCTAAACGAGGGCGAGAGCCTGGTTAGCCGAATCCTGCAGCTCGGTCCGCCGGGCTCCAAATTCCTGGGGTAGGCCTCTGCATATGAAACCATCCATGGATGCTGTCCCTGTGTCGTCTGTGTTGGTGCTGTCTGTGTTCTCCTCATAGTCCTGTGTCCCACTGTCATGACTGGAGACTGCCTCATAGTACATGTACTTGTCTTTGCTCTGCTTTTGCTTTGTGCTCACGTTTTTCTGCTCTGTTTAACCAGCCGAGTAGATGTTAGGGTCAATGTTGTATGAAATATTATTAATATATTTCCATGTGTGCTGTATATACACAAATATTTTCATATTATCAAAAAATATTCAGCCATTCAAGTATCACATGGAAATATATTATAAACATTCAGTCATTAGTTGTCTGTCCATAGCATGCTTTTGTAAACAAACTCAATTATGTACCTAATACATTTTTATGAGGTAAGTGATCATTTTGGTAGCTTTATAAAACAAAACAAAAGAAAAAAATAACTTTAACTACTATTTTTATATTACTTATAATAATACTAGGGGTGTAACGGTACACAAAAATCACAGTTCAGTACGTACCTCGGTTTTGAGGTCACGATTCGGTTAATTTTTGGTACAGTTTGGGAACAAAATAGAAAACCATTTGCTTGTTGTTTATTTGTGTTTTTATTAAACCAACAATTAGTTTTAACATTATACAAACAGGAAAATTAAATAAACGCACAGTGCTGCTTGGTAATACTAATAAGTTAAATTAAATATTCTCAAATAAGCAACAAATGTATGAAATATTATAAAAAAAAATAAATTCCTTGTAAACAGTAAACAAAACTTTTACACTTTTAACAGTTCCAGGATGAAGTTTTACTCAGTCTTCATATTTTTGGCAAGAAAAAACAACTTGTCCACATTGTTTGCTGTAAGTACAGATCTGCTGCAGTTACAATGTCAGTGGAGTGGGATACTGAAACGGTTCGGCACATACACATGTACCGTTACACCCCTAAATAATACTTATAGCCAAATGCTGGATGTCAAGGCATTCAAATAGTTTAGAGAGAGATCAGCTCATGAATATTGGAAAAATAAATGGATTATACAGTATAAGTAAGAGCAACTAATTTTGCATCGTCTTTATTACAAATGAATCAATTGGCAAAACAACGATTCAATTCAGTTAGTGTTTGCATAGTCCAATACCACAGAACATCACAAACACACACTGATTTGTGACCCAGTGTAATGTCTGTGTCCTTGTAGCCCTGTGATAGTGGAGATCCCTCACTTTGCTGCTCTGAGGGGCAGAGAGCGAGAGCTGGTGATCCTGAGGAGTGAGACTGGAGAGAGCTGGAAGGAGCACACGTGTGAACACACCCAGGAGGAGCTCAACCAGATCCTCAACGGCATGGACGAAGGTCAGACTCAACACACACACACACACACACATACACACACACACACACACACACACACACACACATACATACACGGTTACAGACAGTCTGCAGTGTGAGAACTTCAGTCTGTGGGCGACTCACTGCTTTTGAAAGAGATAATTAACCAAAAAATGTACATATTTATTTAGATTGGGTTAATAAATGCACCTGTACTTGTTTTTCATGTATCTTAAAGTTCTGTTTTTTATAATCCCACCACTTTTAATATTAGTAATATTAAATTTATATTTCATTTAAGTTCTTTTGTGCTGATAGTAAAGACATACCCCCGACACTGCAGAAACTGTAGCTCTTTTTAATGCACAGGCTTGCATCTCCACAAACCTGACTCTGACTTGACCTGAAGGAGGGCGTTCGCCTGCTTTTTTCCATGGAAATGTTGTTTCTTTTGCTATAATCTTCCACAGCGTGGTGTAAAGCATATCTGTCTTTATGGAGAATGTTGGAAATATGGGTTTAACTTAACTTTAACTATTTCCATAGAATCATGCAGGTGATTTGCACATCCAGAAAGTTACATACTATCACTTTAACCACAGAGTTATTCACCAACATAGAATTCCCAGTTTAATTATTTAGTATGTTGGGTTCCAACGGTCATGGAAATCTTGGAAAAGTCATGGAAATTGAAAATGTCATTTTTTAGGCCTGAAAAAGGAATTTTAGTATCCCGTTCTAAAGAGACGTTCCCCTTTAAAAGAGACAACGATAAATGACAGTATTTTGAATGTTAAAAAGCTATAATACCAAACCATAAGGTGACTGGAAAGTGTTAACATTTAATCTTTAGCCCTAAACGTTTGATCAATTCTACACATGTAGGTGCTGTAAAGTCATGGAAACTTCACTTTAGGTCATGAAAAGTCATGGAAAAGTTTTGAAAAGTTTTAATTGTTGTAAAAGTTGGAAAAGAGAATTGTAATTACTAGTTTAGTGTACTGTGATCTCAAATAAACCCAGCCTATTCCTTGTAGTCCATTCATTCTAAATCAAAACCTCTTGTTTTGTTCAGACCTGGACCCACCGGAGGAGCTGGAGAGGAAGCGTATCTGCCGCATCATCACCAGAGACTTCCCGCAGTACTTCGCTGTGGTGTCGCGGGTGAAACAGGACAATAACCTGATCGGGCCAGAAGGGGGCATCCTGAGCAGCACTGTGGTCCCCCAAGTGCAGGCTGTGTTTCCTGAAGGGGCCCTGACCAAGAGGATCAGAGTCGGACTGCAGGTAACCACAGCCAAATACAAAAGACGTTAGCCTGCTTTATTATTATAAAAGATGACGTTTTATGAGTATGACAGGATTTGAAAAGGAATTGAAAGAGTCTATATGACAAAACTGGAAACCTCTTAACCTATTGGATTATCCTTTTGATTAATCAAGTAGTTGTTTACAAAAGAAAAACATGTGAATTTGATTTTTACTGACTTTGAAGCTTAAGGGATGTGAGTAAAGTGAGTTCCTGTATATTTTTGTATATTCTGTCAGCTTTTGGAATCTGTGAATAGTTCAGATAACGATTATTTGATTTCCATATTAATTGACAACTATTAAAATTCTCAATTAGTTGCAATTAACCGATAAATCAGTTTCAGCCATACTAAACTGTAGGGGTGTAGTTTTATATATCACATATTTACACAAATTATTAGCATTGTAGATCATCAGCAGAATAAATCTTCAGACCAACCAAAAAAAAATAAAAGGAAAAAATAATAAAAAATAAAACTAAAATAAAATAGGAGGCCATCAAGCAAGTGACATCTGCAAAGATATATAAAAAATGTACATTAGGCTTTGTTTTGATTGTAAGATTTCCACTGTTTCCAATACAGTTCTCCTTTATCTAAGGCGTGTCTCAGTATCGATATTAGGGACTGCTGTATCGATATATTACCAAGAGGATTTTTTGGTATATTTTACTAAATTAATTTGTTACAGCGCTACAGTTTTGTTGTTTTTTTAGAGAAAGGAAACTCATTTATGCAATATGTTTGATATTTTCACTGTTTCAATGATTAAACATGGGCGTGTAACTTAACTTTAGGCGTAACTTTGCACAAGAAGTGGTCTCACAAAAACTTTTAGTATCACAGCCATGATTTAGCCTTTATTTTTTACTGAACCGTATGGAATCGCTTTGAAATATATTATATTGAATTGAAAGTGCACTGTATCGAGATATGTATCGTATCGTGGCCTATGTATCGAGGCATGTATTGTATCGGCAACTTCTTAATGATACCCAGCCCTACTAAACTGTAACCTGAACTGATATTCTGTACTTTTGATTGTGTTAGTCCCAACCCGTGCCTCTGGATGTAGTGAGAAGGATCCTGGGTAACAAAGCAACATTTAGCCCCATCGTCACACTGGAGCCCCGAAGAAGGAAGTTCCACAAACCCATCACCATGACGATACCTGTCCCCAAGACCAACGCCGACCCCATCCTCAACGGGTTCGGAGGAGACACGCCCACTCTACGGCTGCTCTGTAGTATCACTGGTGAGAATGCGTCACGTTAAAGACTGTAGTGCATTTGCAGTGGACCTTACCCTTTGTTGGGGTTGTGAGTTCAAATCTAGCCTCTTACTTTCTCATATTCTCACTGTTATACAAGATTTGCTTTGTCCAGTGTCAAATAAAGCCTAGAAAGGAAGAAGAAATAAAATAAAGATATGCTGGGGAAAGTTGGTTTAGTGAACAACAGCTATGTTTATTAAAAAAATAAAATAAATGTGTGTATGGTTATAACTACTGATGTAACAATAACTGAAATATTATGATATCGTATCATCAAAGTTCTCACAATAATATCATGGACCATCACAATATATCGAATTACAAGTTTCTTTGCTTAAATTAAGAGTTACGGTGCAGCAACTGCTAAAAAAAGACAGAGGGAACTACATAAACCATGATCCTTTGCTCCATTTCAGTGTAGACTACAAGAAGAAATAACAGTTCTTTGGGTTAAGTCTTGTCAAGACATTTTAAGAGGAAAAAGTAGCACATTAACAGTTTTGTTTGTCTCCCATTAAATATACAGTGAGATGTTTATCGTGAAAATATCATACCAAGAGATTTAAATATTGTTAAATCCCTAATTGTGAGACTCTTCCCCATATCGTGAGCTTTTCCCCGATATCGCAATAAATATTGTACCGTGAGGTTCATAAAGTGACAATATCGCATCGTGACACTTGGATATCGTTACACCCCTAGTTATAACAGAACATTGAATTGGTAAAAATGGCAAAGAAGACTGGATTTCACTGTATAAACTAGTATATCAATTAGGGATGTCACAATAACCAAAATATTGTGATATCGTATCGTCAAAAGTCTCACAATAATATCGTGGACCATCACAATAGATCGAATTACAAGTTCCTTTGCTTAAATGCATTGTTTTGTAGTAGCAACAGCTTATAAACATCAGAAACTACATATCCCATGATTCATTTCAGAGCAGACAACATGAAGATATATGTTTTTTACTTGAATTCTTAGGATTATTACAGAAATAATTCACACCAAAATCTTATCAAGGTATTTTAAAAGCAAAAAAGTGTTACATCTACAACGTGATAATATCGTACCGAGAGATTTGGATATTGTTACATCCCTAATATCAATTCATCTTAAAGTAGTTAAAAAGAGTGTCACTGTTTTATCAAAGTTACTGTCAAGTGAAAGTGTTAAAATCGTTTCGAGATCAAAGGTAAAAGTTAATACGTGATTGCAATGATTTAAAGTAACTGTTCTTTTGCTCTCAGGTGGGACGACGCCAGCTCAATGGGAGGACATAACAGGAACCACGCCATTAACCTTTATCAACGACTGTGTCTCCTTCACCACCAACGTCTCCGCCAGGTGAAATGTCCGCCCTGTACTTTTCACCTCTTTATTTGAGCAGATCACTTACCAGGACACGTGCTGCTTTCAGGTTCTGGCTCATAGACTGTCGGCAAGTGCAGGAGTCGGTCAACTTCTCCACTCAGGTGTACCGGGAGATCATTTGTGTCCCGTACATGGCCAAGTTTGTCATCTTCGCCAAGACCCATGACCCCATCGAGGCCCGGCTCCGCTGCTTCTGCATGACCGATGACAAGATCGACAAAACTTTGGAGCAGCAGGAGAACTTCACTGAGGTGGCACGCAGCAGAGACGTAGAGGTAAAGACACAGAGGAGAAGTAACTGGATATTTCAATAGGAGAGGCTTAAAGGTACAATGTGTCACCTGTATGTTTCCATTGAGATGTTATTGCTTTGCCTGGAATGTTCCACAGTATGACATTAAACGTATCTAGCTCTGTGGAGACAAGATGGCACCTCCAGGCCAAGTTACAGGTCAGATCTGTGGCCATGCCAGGTTGTCAGAGCCTGTCAAAGCCTGTCAAAGCTCAGATCTCAGACGCTAAGACTGGAGATACACTGTGCGATATTTTCGATCGTTTCACTCGGCCCCAGCTCAAACTGCACGACCAAATGCCAGGGTTTAAAAGTTCACAGTTCATGGAACTACTTCAACAGTGCGAAACCCTCAAGAGAGGCGAAAAGATTTCAAACAGGTCTGAAATTCTTACGACCTACGAATGCTCATCGTGAGGTCATCGTGAGGTATTAATCGGTTTTCGTTACTCCATGTATACTACAAGAAACATGAAGCAAGACACACGATTAAGCCAAAAGTCAGCCCGATCCCAAAAACAGTTGCACGAGTGAAAAATCGGCTCAAAAAGGGACAAAAATTGCAGTGTTTGCCCAGCTTAAGCAGGGCTGGGCCTGGTTAGTACTTGGATGGGAGATTGCAGGGAAAATCAGGTGCCACAGTGGGTGCCAGTAGTAAAAAACAAAAAAAACTGTTGACATGTCCTTACACAAGACACTTGACCCACATTGCCTAGTATGAAAGTGATGTGTGTGTGAGTGATGGTGGTGATCGGAGGGAATGAATAATGAATAATGTCTGTGAGTGTCCAGAAAAGCGCTATATAAAACTGATCCATTACCAACTCTACTAATAGTGAGAATGCTTCAAGGTAATTTAAGTAAGATAAGTTTAATGTTATACTATGAAACATTCTAAGCACCTCAGCATGGACTATATGAAGGAGAGGACTAAGAGAGTGTGTAGGACTGTAGGATAATGGAAGGCACAGAACATTTTTCAGAGAGGTGGAGAAGAAAATAGGTTGTGATAAGAACAATATAGGAAATGAAGCCTTTCAGAAGTGTATTTTAAATGAGTTCCTTCTAAAACTATAAATAAAAGTATAGTTATTTCATGTACTATTTTATCTAATGCTGTACAATAAATATACATGATTTTCTAATGCTCTGTTGACCATTATAACTGTGTACCTCTTTCTCACAGGTTCTAGAGGGTAAACCTATCTATGCAGAGTGCTTCGGCAACCTCGTCCCTCTCACCAAAAGTGGCCAGCATCATCTTTTCAGCTTTTTTGCCTTTAAGGAGAACCGACTAGCTCTTTTTATCAAAGTAAGTCACTGCTGTCAACTAGAAATCATGTGTTTGTACCTTATATTTTTTTTGCCTTTTCAGATCCGAGACAATACTCAGGAGCCATGTGGACGCCTGTCCTTTTTGAAAGAACCCAGGAATTATAGATCGCTCACCCAAAACGCCATATGTAACCTTAATATCACCCTGCCATCGTACTCCAAGGTGAGTGCTCTCATCCTATAGCAACAATTAAGGATGCATGCGTTATTACAATTAACTAAGCATTGTCTAATTGTCTGGTAGTGCTTTTCTCCACTTTCTCACTTCTATAGACTTGGCTTACTTGGTTTTGCTTTATAACATAATCATTTGATATGTATGTATGTTTTTATGTTAAATTATAAGCTCAAAACCAGGATATTAAGTCAATGTCTGCTCTCACTTTTGGGGGTATTCCATGAGGCAAGCCTAGGTCACACATTGTTGCTTTAGGTTACATCAAAATAAAAATTCAGGTTACAATTACAACATTATTTTATTATGTTATTTATTACATCCAACAAGAATTACTAGATGCATATTCACAAAAGAGTGGTATTTATCCAATCAAGCACATAAAAAAATAAATAAAATTACCTTATTTAAAGATATTATGTTATGTTTTTCATTTAATTTATGTTGATCTAAAGCAAATCATTTAAATTTTAAGCTTATTTGACGTATTCCTGTTATAATCAACATTTTGAGGACTTTTAAGGACATTTGTTAATCACTATTGCAACCGTCCCAAGCTTTTATCATCCTGAAACCCATGGATAAGTTAATTTGACATAAAGAATAGTGTATAATCCCTCAGTCTTTCAGGTAGACTCCATGGCAAAAGGAGAAGTTCAATTTGTCAACTGGACAAAAGTTTATTTGGTCGAATTTTGGTTCTCAGCTCATCTAAGCTGCTTCTTCAGTTTTGGTCGGAATGCTGGAGGACACTGCCTTTTATCTGCCTGAAGGGAGGAGCTAACTACAATGAAACTACTATGAAACTAACACATCTACTTGTTTATAGTTTCTGTTAGTTAGCTAGGCCTATTGATCTTGCACTGAGTGAGGGGTCTTTTTAGCAGAATCATTTAGGGCCATAATGGAGCTTTCACACCTCTGGGCCTCACCTGGCTGTCCCTATTGTTTTCTTTGCTTGTTTTGATTTAAGTTTGAGGATGGAGTTGTAAACAGGAGATAGATGGCATCTGAGTCCCCCATTTCTGTTCAAAGATGGATTGTCTTTCCTAACAAAAATAACTTCTTTAACTCCCCTCTTAAAACAATTATTTTCTCTGGCGAAGATCTGTACCTCACTGTTCTCAAAGGAGTGTCCCGAGGCTTTTAGATGGAGATGTACAGCAGACTGAGGTCCTGTGTTGCTCACTCTCGTCTGTGTTGGTACATCCTCTTGTGAATTGGCTGTTTCTTTTCTCCAGTGCAGTGCTCACGGCAGTCTTCACTACACTGAATGGAGTAAACCACAATGCTTTCTTTGTGGCTCGGTGTTTTGTCCTTTGCTTGTCCAAATGACAAATTGAACTTCTCCTTTGGCCCTTAACATAAAGAATGTAAGAATGTGACACAGTATATTTAAATAGCGTTAACATCCACGTAACCCTAATTTTTCTTTTCCAATACTTTTCCATGGAATTCCCTCTGGCTCTCACTGCTTTCCTTAATCACCTAATATTGCTGTTATTTTATCTGTGCATTTTTGCTTCTTGCTTCAAAAGGATTCTGACTCTGACCAAGATGAAGAGGTAACTGCTGCTCCTGCTTCCCATCACACATTACAATATTAGAATTAAGTGCTATAGTGTTTAGATACAAACATAGGAATTGTTCTTGCTTTGAGTCATTTTGTTCAGTGTATATAAATAAAACCTATAGATAGTGATAGAACACTTTTTATATTGACATAATAACTTAATATATATATTTTTTGTTGTGTTTTTTTTACAGAATGGCAGAACACAGGAGAAATGTAAGACACCAAATCTTCTACAGTTTTCATATTATACTAAAATTATCTCATTCTGTACTAATATTAACGCATGTAATTGCTAAAACTAAACAAAATAACAGTAGTAGTATTAATAATTATTAAATGTTGTGCTGTAGCAAATCCAGTTTATACACACATTCATCTTTCCAAAGCCTATTAAGTTAAGTTTCCTAGTTTTGTCTTTTCACAAACAGCATAGACTTACCTAATCCCTCTTTATTTTATAATACAATTTTTGGTTTTTTTTGATGCTGTTTTGTCCCCCTGCGCTTTGCTTTCCAAATACTCAACAATTCTACTATTGACAAATTAAGATGGGAAATTTCGAGAAAGAGTAAAACGCTCCCGTCTACGTATGTACAATTAATATTAAGTCATTATTGTGACTATAGAATACTGGCCTAGTTGTTTTTCCATAGAAAGCTAGTAAATACATTCAAGTCTGTGATTAAAATTGTAAAGACAAAATCCCCCAGAAATTTCCCTGTAGTTTGGTGACACAAATCATTAGCAGGCCAGTTTCCAGTATTTTTGTGGAATGGTAAAGCAAAAATGCAGCTAATAAATCACATTAGTTACTTTTTAAATATTACAGTATTTATTTTATCTACTCATATCACTCATATTTCCCTTACCTCTCCATGTCCACCTGCTTTGCATGGAAATAACTTGCCTAACAGATGGATGTGTGCTTGCTTGTCTCATTGTGTGAAAAACAGAATTAATGAGTAGTTTATGTTTTTTTGTTCACACTTCGTTTGTCTTCATTACTTTATTTTCCCTCACTGGCTTTCTTTGGATAGTGTTTTTGTAATTATTTTCTCATTTGTCTAAGCAATCTTGAGATTTTGTTGTCTCATTTCATTATTTTATGTGGCGTTCATTGGTTTCTTTAATTGTGGTTTGTAGAGTAGGTGTGGTTGTGCTGTGTGTAAAAGCAAGTTATTTCCAGCGTCATCCTTTCCCATTGGTTTGATTTACATATTGCTTTTGCTTTACCACAGACATAGTAAAGTACATGAGACCTTGATGCGTGGATGTTAGGATCCTTGTGACTGTTGTCCTATGAATCCTTTGTGCTCCAATCTTATCCTGACCCACTTCTCCTTTGTCTGTCCTTTCATTTGAATTTTTGATTTTCTTTACTCCTTACTTGTCCGTCTTCCTTATAAAAGATGAAGCGACAGTGCTGAAATCAGAGCTGATGCGAGAGCCAGACCTTCTATCCGACGTGTCAGAGATGAAACAAGATTTGATCAAAATGACTGCCATCTTGACAGCAGATTCCACTGGAAAATCCCCTTCCCTGAAGCCATGTGGTCTAGAAAAAGGCGCTGAGGAGGTTTCTGGAGAGCCCTTAGACATTATGGAGAAAGACCTGGAGAAGGTCAAGGAGGACCTCGAGAAAGTCAGTGAAATCCTTAGGAGTGGAACATATGAAGGCGAAGCAACTGAGGCAGGGGCAGCCAAAGTCACAAGAGCCAGCGAGGAGTGGGTTCTACTCTCTGACAGTGAGCTAGCAGAGGCGAAAAAGATGGCAGCTCTAGACGTACAGGAGCCAGTTTTACGTGAGAGTAGAGCCAACAGAGGAGCTCCAAGGCCTAAAGCCATAAAGGACAGTGGTGACCTTAAGGAATATCTCCTTGATGCACCAGTCAGCTCCAAAGTGAAAGCTAAACGAGAGTCAGCTTCACAGGAAAAATTCACTGAGGTTGTTTTACGCAAAAGTACACCAACCAAAGTACAAGAAGCCAATAAGTCTAGTGATATAAAAAAGCCACTCCGAAAGAAGGGCAAAGAGGATGGCACAGATCATTTAAGTGTGCCAACAGCCCCCAGTCAAACATCTCCTGTGTCTCCTGTGGTGGAAGAAACACCCATTGGCTCAATCAAAGACAAAGTGAAAGCCTTACAACAAAAGGTTGAAGCAGAACAAAAAAGCAAAAAAATGTCAGGGGTCAAGACGTCTCAGCTCCCTGTCAGCAAATCCCCACCAAAAGCCAAAGAAAGCCCTAAAGCTAAGCAGGGTCCACCAAAATCTCCTAAAGCTGAAGATGAAAAACTAGAGGAGACCATGTCTGTGAAGGAGTTAATGCAAGCATTTCAGACAGGCCAGGACCCTTCCAAGAGAAAATCTGGGCTTTTTGAGGTCAAAACTACAGTTACTTCATCATCAAAATCAGAGACAACCACTAAATCTGAAATTACACCGTCCAAAACCACAACCAAAACAGTAACCTCACATACTGCTCAAGAAAAAGAACTGTCTTTAGATTCAAAACCTCACAAGAAAGAGACTGTACAGACTGACAAAGAGAAGCAAAGTGCCCATTCAGAGCAGGTAGGAACTGTAGACTTTGGAAGTGGTGACAGCTCTGACAGCCTCAAACATGAGGCTGCTGCTGAATCACTCACAAGTGCCAGTTCTGCAGATGGGACTCCTCACCTCAGTTCAGAGGAGAGCTGCAAACACGAGGGTCTGGCCTCTCCAGGCACCAGTCCTGAGAGTATCTGTATTTCTCCCCAAAGTGGACAGACTGCCTCGTCTGTATCTGCAACAAAGAAAAACGAACCTAAAGACACAGAGAAATCTGGAGACTCTGGTCTAGGGACCACTGCTGACCAGTTGTCTGCTGAGCTGACCCTCCCTGTGTCTTCAAGCGAGGCTGCAGATGATCACACAACAAGTGAGTCCATATCTGTTATGAAGAGCCAATCAAAGCCAAGTAAACCTCACAAGCTCACAAAACGAATATCAGAGACAGTAGAATCATTTCTTAGTGATGACGAGAGTCCTGATCGTCAGATAGACATGCCATTTGGTTATACAGTGCCTAGATCCTCCTCTCAGCGCCAGGACAGTTTAGAGCTGCCTTTAAAAACTGACTCAGATGTTCTCAGCCCATTAGCTGATGACTCTTATACAATAAGCCACAAAGACTCTCTAGAAGGTAGTCCCCTCATGGAAGAGGCCTCCTCCCATAAGTCCCCTGACTCAATAGAACCTAGTCCCACCAAGGAGTCCCCACCTCATGACTCCTTAGAGAGCAGCCCTGTAGAAAATAAAACTCTCCCACTCTTTCCTCAAACACTAGATCCACCTAGTGCCATTTCTAGACTACCAGAGCCTTCTAAACCTAAAGAATCCCTCCAAGATGCCTTACGGTGTAGACTGCAAAAGGAGCGTGATCCTAGTGCTGATGATGACAGTTGTGAGCAGACATCTCAGAGGACAAGTTCTGGTAAGAGTCCTATCACCCCCGAAACCCCTAGTTCTGAAGAGGTAAGTTATGAGGTCATACTCAACCCCCCTGAGCACTCATTACTGTCAGTCCAAATCAAACCTGCTGTCATCCCCGAAGATGGAGAAGAAGAAGACAGCTCAGAAGCTAAGAGAAAGTTCACCCCAGAGGAAGAAATGTTTAAAATGGCAGCCAAAATAAAAACATTTGAGGAAATGGAGCAAGATGCAAAGAACAAAAAGAATGCTAGAAAAGATTTGTATACCACAGCAGAATCTAAAACAGGGGATGACAGCCATGAAATGTTAGAATCCAAAAGTGAGGAACTACCACAAAGTGCCTATGGTCTCAACAGACCTACAGAAGATGCAGAGTTAGCTCTATTTGTTGAACCTACTATTAAAATACAACCTCCCTCTCCTTTTTCAGCAGGTTTGCATGATGGATCCAACAGCAAAGAAGTCACAAACACAACATCCACCAAATCAGAGGGACCTCAGTCTGTCTCAGATGTTAGTAAAGTACCTGCTGACAGCAAAACCGAGGACAAGAAGAAAGACTGTGAAAGAGCATCCATTGAAATCAAAGACATTACAAAATTAGAACAAAACACATCTACTAAGCCATCAAGTCATTTAGCTACATCTGATGAGAAGGGTCAAACGTGTGCAGCAGAGGCACCTAGAACTGAGTCAAAGGGTGTTACTGCTAAAGCTGACCCTAACTCATGGACTTCTGCGTGTGAGGATGATGATGCTTTTGTAGCCCGTGTTCAAGAAGAAGAACAGAAGATACTGAACCTGGTCGTAGATCGTCAATCTGTCCAAGCCACACCTGATAGAACACCTACAGAAGAGAGCACACCAACCAGTGAGCCCAACCCTTTCCTCTTCCAAGAGGGAAAGCTCTTTGAGATGACACGCAGTGGGGCAATTGATATGACTAAAAGGAGTTATGAGGAGGAAGGGGGTGGTTTTGCCTTTTTTCAAATTGGTGAACAATCTTTAGAGGATGAGGCTTCACAAGAAGGCCAAAGATCGGCAGCTGCAGAGGCTGATGTTGGCCTCAATCTAACACTAGAGGTTAAGACTGAGGAAGATGAAAAGACTAAAAAAAGTAGTGATCTTATTTCATCCCTGCCCGAAGGGGATGAAACCACCAATAAAAATGATGTCTCAAAATCTAAAATACCTAAAATGGGGGTATCTGTTTCATCCAAGTCAAAAACAGATCGAACATCTGATGGTTTAGAGACCAAAACAGATAAGCATTTAAGTGAAACATCTTTAGAAATAGATAATAGCTCATCTGGTCAAATGATAGCTAATGTACAGACCGCTGAAACTACTGTTACTAGATCTGTTTACTCAGAGCAGGGACAAGAGTCCTCCGATTCCTCTCCAGAAGAACAACAAGCTGCAGTAGAAAGTACCAAAACCTCAGCCAAATCAAAAGAAACTAGCTCTTTAAGTGTTAAAAAGACTCCTGTAAAATCACAGGTTAAATCTTCCTCACAAGTTCGGGCTAAAACCACTACCCCATCCTCCTCAGCTGTTAAAAAAGAAGTATCATCAGACTCCAAATCTAGAATTCCTGTCAAGGCTAGTAGTCAAAAGGCTGACTCCCCTGCGAAACGCACAGAAACTGGGCAGGACAAGAAGCTCAAGCCTCCTGTAAAGAAGGATTCAAGGAGGAAATCTGAGACAGATGCTGGTCCCTCTGTTGAGCTGAAAACAAAGACCTCCTCTGCGAAAGCCAAGAGCTTCTGTGAAGGAGACTCTACCAAGCCATCTCCTAAAAAGGAACACGGGTCGTCCCTTGAGTGTGGAGTCCGCCAAGTCCAAAGGTTTCCAATCTAAACTGCCGGTCAGAGGCAAAAGTGGCCAATCATCACATTCTACAACACCAAGCTCAGATAAAAATACAGCTGGCAAACAATCTTTTGAATTCTTTGAAGAAATAAGTGATGAAGCCGCAAAAGTTGTGGAGAGGTTGGCACAGGCCCAGACAGAAAAGGAAATAGAGGCAGCTGCTGCCAACTCAGATGATGAGAGCAGTCTCATCGAAGCATCTGTCCTAGAGAGGGAAGCCTTCACTGAGATGCAGTTCCCTCCCTCAGGAGCCGTCTTTCCCATTAGACCTCTTTGGGATGACCCTGTTGAGACACAGATGCAGCGAATCCCAGATGATAAAGTCTCAAGTCAAGGTATCCCCCCTGTTTAAGGGGCTATTCTCTCTCTTGTGCCATTAGATTACTTTAGCTGTAAAGGTGCTGCCTCTCTGTCTCTTGTAGTTGATTCCCATTGTAGTGGAAGAATCCTTGTGGCTGTCCATTCAGCTGTGTTTCTGTTTGTCTTTTTCCTTATGTGCTAAAATCTCAAGATTGACTTAAAGGCTTTTAGTAATTGGGTTTATCTGTTTAATGAGCAATATGCTGTAGTATAACTTTGTCAGTAGTCTTAGACATTTCTTTACTATTTAAACAATGCACTAATTTAAAAAATGATTGTTTAACCTTTGGGGCATCTCAGAAATGTGCTTATCTTTTGGCCCCATTTGGCCCCCCAATAAACGCTAAAAGAATTATATTGATATATTATAATATAGAAATACTATTACCATATTGTTTATCTGACATCTGACGCACAATAAGGAGTAGAAATTCCAAATCTATGTGAGAGCTTGTTAAATAAAGAATTCAAAAACATAAACTTAAAAATTGGATAAATTTTCAATTCCTAACAGTAATTTTAGTCCAAGACCTAGGCTGCTTCCCAAAGGAGGAGCTCTGGTACCTTTTCACCATTTAACTTTGTCAGCTGACTTATTGTATAGAGACTCCCAAATGAAAAGAATTGCACATAGTGAATATTTAGGGCCCATGATGCTCTAAGGGTTAAGGAAGCCAGTGAAGATCATGTTTCTCTATGTTAGCTGTAAGAGAGACTGGCATTGATGGTTTATCTGGTGGCATTGCAGTAGATCCACAGGATGAAGCCGAGAGACAAGAGCACCGGTTGGCCCTAATCGCTGATCATTTGGGCTTTAGTTGGACAGGTAGGAAATAATGTGACCCTTATTTAAATGACTATATATTGTATTTAAATGACTATATATCATTTTTATTTTTAATCATTTTTATACAGAATTGGCACGTGAACTGAACTTTAGTGAAGATAGAATAAACCTAATCAGGGCGGAATACCCAAACTCACTGCAAGATCAAAGCCATGCCCTTTTGAGGTTCTGGGCAGAGCAGGAAGGAAGCCAAACACCAGGTAAACCTGAAGGATTTTATGCATTGTTGATTTATTAAGAGTTGTTGACAATCTTTTAATTATTATCATTTACTTTTTTTTTTTTTTATACAGAAACCACATTAATCAAAAGACTTACTTCAATTAACCGTATGGACATAGTTCATCTCATTGAAACCAAGATCATGAAATCCACTCAGGATGAGACATCATCACAAACCTATGCAGAAATAGAACAAACCATAGCCCTTGATCACAGTGAAGGTAAGTCTTACATCAAAAATGACAAACCTTTTGACACAAACCACTTTCATAACCGTAGTTTTCCCACCCAATATATTCTTCTCAGGTTTCTCTGCTCTTCATGAAGATATTGACAGTCCAAGACCAGGTCGCCGTACAGAGACTACTTGTAAGAGTCCGCAGACAGGACAGGCTGTACCCATGGTGTCCTCAGAGGATCTGTCCTCCAGCTGGTCGTCACTCCCAGAGACAACAGGACGATCAGAAACAGACCTTATTAGAAGTGTCCAGAAAGGAAGAATACAAAAGGAGATGGAAATGTGAGTATTTTTGAATAAAGGCCCATGTGGTTTGTAAACTAGTAATCTAGACTGTTGTGTCTTATTGCTATTTTTGAGATATTTTCTTCTTTTCTTCTGCAGTTCATCACAAGGAATATATGAGGAAGTGGGAGACCCATCTCTACACACAGGGAGTTTGAAACAAGTAAGTCCTTTCTTCACAGTGTACCGAACATCCCCCTACAGTCTCCGATCCCTTGTCATTGACCCAGTGTATAAAGGCGGGCCCAAGCTTTGTGCCCAAGTTGCTCCGTCTCCAGACATCACCATTGATTCAAGTGAAATTGAAGGGGCAGAGGGATCTGATGGGGCAGAAGGGGGAGAAGATTGGAGTCTTGAGTGTTTACGAACCGGCAGCATGGAACAGAATCCACAGCATTTGTCAGTAATAACTTGGAGAGACTCTGCCAACATCTCGCGTACCGGTGTTTGTGAAAGTCGACCACTGTCACTAACTGACTTTGGAGATACTTTGACTGAATGTGAAGAAGCAGAACAGGACTTCAGAAAACTGTCTATAGAGTTCACTGAAAACAGTGAGGCAACAAAAAGTAAAGAATCAACTAGTGAAACCACTTCCATTCCTCTAACTACTGGGGAAGACCCAAGTAAGACAGGGCACATGGAGGAAGTTTCTCAACGTCTCTACAAAGTTCTGTATGGATTTAAAACTGATCCAAGTGATTCCACCAACATGGCCGACACTGCTGAACAAGCAATTCAGTGTGAGCCAGGAGGATTTGAGAGTGATACTTTTGCTGATTATGTTTCAGACACTTTTGTAGAAGACAACGTGGTTAAAATAATGCCTGGGGAAGAAGACGCTTGTGGTCTTCCTTCTGAAATATGTTCACCTGATAATAACCAAGCTACTTTAAGTTTGTTGCCTCCACACTCAGGAGATGTCTGCCTCGAAACATTACACAACTCAACCTTTGAAAACATAGATTATTTTGATGAAGAAGTCACAACTCAGCTTGAAGAGGAAAATACTCCTGAAAGTGACCATGCAAGGACTAGCATCTTTAGTCTCACAGTTGAAACATATATCTCTGGTGCCTGTGGGGGCTCTGCAGATGAAGACACAGATCAAATCACTGACACTTTAGATGTTAGCTATAGCAGATCATCTTCGTTATGTGATTCACTCTTAAGAATGCCTAGTCCACTTGTTTTTGATGCAGATGAGGTCATTCTAGCTGAGAGCAGGGCCTCTTCACCCGAGTCAGTTTCATCCGTAAATGAACTATCACTGCTCTCGCCAGACTCTCCTATTCCCCTTTATAGACCTCTTTCTCCTTTGCCACCCCCAGTGCTGCCATGGGAGTCTGGGGAGACGTGGTCACCCAGTCAGGCACAGTCTCTTCTTTGTGCTCGTGCCATAAAGGTAGAATCTGAGGAAAGGCCATTAACGCCAATGATTTCAAATAAAACTCCATTTGGAAGACCAGTTTCATCAAGCAGTGTTTGCAGTGGTGATATTGAGTCAGCACAATCGTCAGCACAATCATACACAGATATAGAAGACAGGGCATCGTCTCCTGAATCTACTGTTTTAGAGACATACCCATGGCTTTTTACAACAGGTGAGGAATCAACCTTTTTAGCATATCATCAAGAGTCAAGACCATCCTCTCCTGAATCCATAGATCTTTCCTGTACACACAGTCTGCTTCCCCCAGACTCTCCTATCCCAGAGTTTAGTAGATTTACCTCTGAGACCATCTCGTATACGGCATGCAGGTCTTCATCACCTGAGTCCCTCTCATCAGACTTAGAATTCTTTGAGGCTGAACATTCACATTCCCCTTGTCAGAACAGACCATTCTCCCCAGAATCTGGATCATCAGTTAATAAGCATAGGCCACTGTCTCCAGATTCACCTATTCCTGAATTTTACCAAGATTGGCCCGATTCAGTTTTAGCACTCGCTGGTGAGAGACCAACCTCACGTGAGTCAGTATGTTCAGAGGTAGAATTTAGCACAAACTCTCCTTTATTCCAGGATTATGACAGACCAATTTCACCTTCTCCGGTTGATTCTGGAGATGAATCCATGGCAACACAATGTATAACTTCTCATGAAATTTCATTCACTGAGCACATTGTCTCAAGTGATGATCAAATAACAGAATCATTATCAATATATGATAATTCTGCAGAGTTGCTTCCAAGCCATACAAACATTGTAAATATTTCTGATAGTAGTAATTTAACTTCTGAATCAAACACAGATTTCATCACTGACATTGAACGTGCACAAACTGATAATACACAACAGTCAGACACAATGCCTAGTGAACATCTAAGAGAGAAAGGTGAACAAAAGCCCTCTGAAGTGTGTTCAGTAGACCTTACACAGTCTGATAGAGCTAGTTTGTCTGCAGGTGGAACTACAACATTACAAGAATTAGGAGAGAAACTGTCTCAAGAAGAGGGTTTGTCTGTAGAAAAGCTGGAATCAGAGAACATTTATGAAGGGGATAAGAATGTGCTTGAATACCAGGAGGAGGAATCTAAACCAGTGGCAGAGATAGAGGAGCCTTTTAGTGAAATACATGACCCAGTTAGTTTTGTAGAATCACATACAGAAAGGCCATTATCACCTGAATCTGAAACAGAATTCAGAGCCTTCTCACCTGAAACACTAAAGTCTATGAGCCTGTTGAGGTCTGATTCACAGGGCTCTGTAGATTCTGTTGACAAGTGCAATCCTTTGTCCCCAGATTCCCCTGTCCCTCATTTTGAAAGCTTTGTCCAAGAATCCTACCCTCTTTCACTCTCGAGATCACCGTCTCCTCATTCTGTGTCAGATACTGAGTTATTTGATGACAGTATTTCTGCAGCTAAGTCAAGGACATCATCTCCAGATTCAGAGAGTTCTGTAAGAAATCAGCCACTCTCTGCAGACTCTCCTGTTCCTGACTTTAGTAATGACAGTGTATTTACTAATGTTGCTATTTGTAGGTCCTCTTCGCCTGAGTCAGATTCTAGTGATCACAAAGATTTAGTGGAATTTTCTGCAGCAGATTTCAATTATGATGAGAGGTCGTCTTCACCTGAGTTAGCAGAATTTGAGACAAGACATGTTTCTCTTGACAGCACAACTGTAGAATCACAACAAAAGATTGATTCAAGGCAAGAAGATAAAAATGAATTTGTGCCTGCTTTAGAAGAATCAATTTTGGAAGAAGAATCACAGTTTAGTTTGCCAGAAAAGTCAGAACACCCAGTTTTCGAACCTCAAGTCAGTTCAACAGACAATTCAGTGTTATCCTATGATGTAGATCTTTGGAAGCTTATTTCTCATGTAAATGATCCTCAGTATGCAGGGGAAAAACACAAAATAGGTGTACCTAAATCCAGAGAGACAGAGGACGAGGCAGAGTTCAATCAAAGGCCTCTTTCGCCAGACTCAGAAAGTGAATTTACTCTATTGTCATCACTTGAAGAAGCTGGACAGTACAGAGCTGATTCTCCCCAGTCATTAAAGTCTTTAGACAGTCACACAGCATTATCAGCAGACTCCCCAATTTGTCAGTTCTCAGCCTCAGAGTCGGTCTCTCTTCAGCGTCCCCTTTCAGTTTCACCAGAATTGCTAGCATCAGATCTGGAGGACTCTAGTGAATTTATAATGGTTTCCGATGAGAGAGCTCTATCACCAACTTCTGTGTCTTCAGCTATTTTGTCAGCCGACTCACCACTGCCTGACTTCCAGCAAAGCTTACCAGTATCTAATGTTACTTATGGAGTTGAAAGGTCCTCATCTGTTGAATCACTAACCTCTGAAGTAGAGCAAGACCATATCTCTGTTTCGTCTCTTGAAAATAGACCGTTGTCCCCAGATTCTATAGATGGAAAGCCAATCACACCTACATGATTCACCCATTCTGGAAAATGAATTTGCAGTTTTAACACCTCAAGAAAGAACCTCCTCACCAGTTTCAGTAGGTTCAGATTTAGAATTTGCATCTACTTTTCCACTACACTTCGGAGAATCAAGACCTAGCTCTCCTAGATCTGTTGATTCAGGAGATGGGTATAGAGTGGACTTCACCATTGCCTGACTTTCAAATATTGCCACAACCAATAGAATTTACTTCACGTATTGCAGACAGATCCCCATCTCCTCAATCCATATCCGATGACGAATATGACCAATCCATTGTTGATTTAGATTTTCAGAGACCAGACTCACCTGAGTCACATGCTTCAGAGCACACAGAACGAAGCTATGATCAAGACAAAAAATTAAAGGCTATCAGAGTCCCAGTGTTTAGATTAGTTTATGATGCTGAACTTTGGAAGCTTATATCACACATACATGACCCTCAGTATGTTGGGGAAACATATAGCAGCAAGACTGGAGTATTTGAGTATGCTGGAACAAGAATTGAATATGTTCTGGAAGATGCAGCTGTGATGACAGAGCAGTTGGATAAGACTGGGTTAGAGGATATTTTTGATTTGTCTCTGATAGTACAGGACCAATCTCTAAAGCCACAGTCTGAGAGACCATTGTCACCTGATTCAGAAGCAGAATACAGACCTTTTTCACCACAAATGTTGCAGTCCACAAGTCTTTTGAGATCAGATTCTCAAGTCACAGCAGACTCTATAGATGAATGTAAGGCTTTGCCCCCAGATTCTCCAATACCCCAGTTTCACTACTCCATACCTGAAATATGTCCACTAAAATCTTCAAGATCACCATCCCCAAATTCAGTGTCAGATTCTGAACTGGAGTTACATGATGCTACTACTGTACCAAGAGCATCATCTCCTGAATCAGTAGAATCAGCAAGCAACTCTAGACGGCTGTCAGCAGACTCTCCCATACCAGATTTTAGACAGGACTTTCAGAGATCGCTTGGCGTTGGAGAACATATTACGTCCTCTTGTGAGTCACTTTCTTCTCAAAATGATTTACTGTCAGAATCAAATTTGGAAGAATTCAATTGCAATGAGAGGTCAGAATCACCCGAATTTGCAAGCCCAGAAAGTGAAACCGAGACTAGGCCTTTTTCACCAGACTCATTGTCAGAGTATAGACCTTTGTCACCTCAGTCACTCCTCTTAACACCAAAAAGAACACTGTCTCCAGATTCAGTAACATCACTTACAGAATTTAGGCCCCTATCACCC